GCTCGTACCTCCATGATCCATGCGGCTGCCCCCCATTTTCTGTGGCCGTTTGCGGTCCAGTACGCCGCGCATCAGCTCAACCTTTGGCCCCGTGTCTCCTTGCCGGAGACCTCGCCCACACTGCTGTGGACGGGGGAGGTTGGCGACGCGTCGCGTTTCCGGGTCTGGGGTGCTCGTGCCTTTGTCCGCGATACCACCACGGACAAGCTCTCCCCTCGCGCCATTCCTTGCGTCTTCCTTGGCTTTGTCCCTGACGCGCCTGGCTGGCAGTTTTACGACCCCGCCTCGCGCCGTGTCTTTGCGTCTCAGGACGTCACCTTTGACGAGTCCGTCCCCTTTTACCGCCTCTTCCCCTACCGCACTGCTCCTCGCCCCCCCCCCGCCGCTCTTTCTCGCCCCAGGTCCTCCCCAGGTAGACCCCCTCCCCGCGCCAGGTCCTGCTCCTTCAGGTGTCTCTCAGGTAGACCCCCCTGCGCCTGCGCCTGTTGAGGTCACTGGTGACTCCGGTCCTGCTGCGAGTGGTGCTGTCCCTGGGGGTGTGGAGCTTGGGGGTGCAGAGCTTGGGGGTGCTGAGTCTAGGGGTGCTGAGCGTGTGGAGCCTGGAGGTGCTGAGCCTGCGCGTGAGGAGCCTGGAGGTGCTGCGTCTCGTGGTACTACGTCTGGAGGTGCTGCGCCTGTGTGTGCGGAGCCTGGGGATTCTGAGTCTGGGGGTGAGTCGCCTGAGGGTTCTGAGACTGCTGTTCCGCGGTCTCCTTGGAGTAGCCGTCTTCGTCCGCGTGTGCCCCTCACCTCCCAGCAGCTGCACGACTGGTACGGTCGCCGTCAGCGTCCCACTTCTGCACCTCAGGGCTCTCCTGCTGGAGGTTCTTCTGCTGGTGTCGCTGGTCCCGGAGGTGCTCGTACTGGGAGTGCTGGAGCTGCTGGGGCTGGTGGTGGTGCTGCTGGAGGTCCTGGAGCTACTGGCGGTGCTGGAGCTGCTGAGGGTACTGGAGCTGCTGGAGGTGCTGGAGCTGCTGGGGGTGCTAGAGTTGCTAGAGGTGCTGGAGCTGCTGGAGGTGCTGGAGCTGCTGGGGGTGCTGGAGCTGCTGGAGGTACTGGCGCTGCTGGAGGGGCTGGTGCTACTCGTGCTGGTGGCACTGCTCAGCCGCGCCTGTTCTTTGCTCCGCCGTCTCCGTCGTCTCAGCCACCACCTGACTCTGCACTTCGCCAGGTTCTCAGTCTTCCCTCGTCTACTGGTCTTCCGTTACAGCCTGGCTCACCGCTGCCTGCTCCTTCTCCGTACACAGAGCAGCCTGGTGGCCTTGCAGAGCGTCGTGAGCCTGCGTCGCGTCCTGTCTCCCCTGTCTGTACCGGTCGTCGTGTTCCTTGTCAGAGCCAGCCGGCTGTCTCCGGCCCTCCCCTTGTAGTTCGTCGTCCTTCCTCTCCTTCTCCGCGTGTTCCTCTGCCGCCTCCCCCTGCGTCCTCTCTGCCTGTCGTTGCTGACCCTGCGTCTGACCGGTTTTGTGCTGAGCACTCTACTGCCACGCGCCTGCTTGCCACTGTTGTCACTGACCCGTCGTTTGAGTCTGCTGCTGCGTCTGCCTTAGTCACTGAGCTTGTTGCCTTTGCTGCTCACTGTCGTCTAGACTACGCCGCCAGTCTTGTTGCTGAGTCTGTCTGTCCTCCGTCCGTCGGGGGTGAGTGTGCTCTTGGCACAGACGTCCTTGAGGACAGGCAGGAGGACCTTGAGTGTCTTGCAGCCGCTGCGCCTCATCTCGTATCCATGTTGCTTGCCCCTGAGGTAGACCCGGATGCACCAGACATCCCTACCCCGCGCTCTTACGCTGAGGCGATCGCGGGTGAGTACTCCTCTAAGTGGCAGACAGCCATGGACGCAGAGATGGCATCCTGGAAGTCCACAGGCACCTACGTCGACGAGGTTCCCCCTCCTGGGGCGAACATTGTCAATGGCATGTGGATTTTCAGGGTGAAGCGGCCGCCAGGTTCTCCGCCTGTCTTCAAGGCTCAGTACGTGGCTCGAGGCTTCAGTCAGCGAGAGGGAGTTGACTTCTTCCAGACCTTCTCCCCCACCCCGAAGATGACCACTCTTCGGGTGCTGCTGCACGTTGCCGCTCAGCGTGACTACGAGCTTCACTCTCTTGACTTCAGCACAGCCTTCTTACAGGGCAGCCTGCACGAGGAGATTTGGCTGCGCCGCCCTCCTGGCTTCACTGGGTCGTTCCCTTCTAGTACCCAGTGGAGCCTCCGGCGGCCGGTCTACGATCTCCGCCAGGCGCCACGTGAGTGGCACGACACACTGAGGACGACACTTGCGGCTCTTGGGTTTGCTCCGTCAACTGCTGACCCGTCGCTGTTTTTGCGCACCGACACTTCTCTGCCGCCGTTCTACGTTCTCGTGTACGTCGACGACTTGGTCTTTGCCACTGCTGACACTGAGGCTCTCGCCCTGGTGAAGTCGGAGCTGCAGAAGAGACACACGTGCACAGACCTGGGTGAACTGCGCAGCTACCTTGGCTTGCAGATCACCCGGGACAGAGCACGCCGCACCATCACACTGACTCAGTCACACACGGTGCAGCAGGTCCTTCAGCGCTTCGGTTTCACCTGGTCCTCAGCACAGGCCACTCCTCTGGCTACAGGTCACTCGCTCTCAGCTCCACCTTCGGACGAGTCCGTAGAGCCGAGTGGTCCTTACCCAGAGTTAGTGGGCTGCCTCATGTACCTGATGACTTGCACTCGTCGTGACCTTGCGTACCCTCTTGGCCTTCTGGCTCGCTACGTGGCTCCTGGTCGGCACCGAAAGGTGCACATGGATGCTGCCAAGAGGGTACTACGCTACTTGTGCAGTACATCGGGCATGGGGCTCGTGCTTGGAGGACGGGGTGACGTTGTCCTCACAGGTCACTCGGACGCCTCTTAGGTTGACGACCAGGCTACGCAGCGGTCGTCACAGGGTTACACCTTCAGCCTTGGTTCTGGTTCAGTTTCCTGGCGTTCTACACGTTCGTCTTCAGTTCTCGGCTCCAGCTGTGAGGCAAAGATCTACGCCACAGCCATGGCTGCACAGGAGCTGCGCTGGCTCACCTACCTGCTGACCGACTTGGGAGAGAGGCCTCTTTCTCTTCCAGTTCTGTACGTCGACAATAAGGCCGCCATTGCCTTGTGTCAGGAGCACAGACTGGAGCACAGAACAAAGCACATCGCTCTCCGTTACTTTCTTGCTTGAGAGCTGCAGCAGCGTGGCCAGCTTCGTCTTACCTACGTGGCCACTCGGGCCAACACTGCTGATATATTCACCAAGGCGCTTCCGCCTGGTGATCATCAGCGTTTCTGCACTTTGTTAGGCCTTGTGCCCACTCTTCCTCACTTGCTGTAGGCTTTGTTTGTACCATGATTTATATGTATTCCTGCATACTTGTTCTTGTAGGTAGATATCACTGTACTGTTGCTGTCACATATATATTTCTGCATGTGAACTGGCCTTGTGGTCTTCTTGCTTGTGCTTAGACTGCGTGGTGACGTTGTGATCCACCCTGAGCTTGCTTTGCACTTCCTGACTGGTCTTGTGACCCTCTGTTCTCCCCCACTTTGCCTATGGGGGTGTGTCAAACATATGCATATATGTGTTATAGTTTGGGTAGGCTTAGTGGGGTACTTACTGTGGGGTACAACCCATTGGGTTTTCACTTTGTACCAACCCTCTCGATAGTCGAAACCATCTTTTCCCGTAAGATTCTAACAGCGAATTGCTGGAGGGGCAAAATCGGCTCAGTTACCCAGCTTCTCCCTCTTCTCCGACAACCAATCGGCCATTCGCATAGCGAACAAAAATGGGTTCGCGAATCGAACGAAGCACATCGCCCTCCGGTACTTCTTCGTAAAAGACGAAATCGAGAAGGGAAGACTCGAGTTATCCTACTGTCCCACATCCGAGATGGCAGCCGATTACTTGACCAAGAAACTCGGAAAACAGAAGTTCGAGTACTGCATGCTGCTGAATGGACAAAGACACGTCATCAGAAGCGACACTCCAGAAGCGAAGTGGAGTGTTGGAAACAAGCAATTTAACGCTTCTGAAGTAATCGAAGTACCGGTACCGTATCGACACGAAACGAAGTAGACTACAGCGAAGCAACACGCGAGTCAACAAAAGTAACAGCTAGAGGTTACGCGAAGGTCTAAGGTCGCCGAGATTTGACTCGACGAAAAATACAGCGCGACAGCAAGGACACATATTGAGCAGTTAACCGAGTCGTCACTGTATCGAATCGCAGCAGCAAAAACAGTTGAAGTAAAACCTGTCATATTCCTTTGTAATCATATAAAAGGTTTGTATATCTCTGCTATTATTAACTCATATTGTTCTCATATACCAGTGCAAGGTGGTTCAGCAAACTTTGTTATTACGCTTTCGCAAAGTACAACTTTCCTACTCAAAAGATCTCAGCCTTGAAAAGATCCTAAGGGCTAATTCTCAGCCCAACAACTGCATGGGCAGCGCCAAAGAACATCTGTAACAGTGGATGCTGGTGAAGCACACACATACAGCGTACACTATGTACAAGCCTACCACACCATAGACAAACCTTCATCAGCAATCAGCGCTAGCAGCATCTGCTCTACTAAAGTTCCAAAACTAAATTCCCCACTGAAAGGAACATATAAAGTCTTCGGAATACAAGCCACAAAGCCATAAAATGGCAATCAATCTTCGGATGAGAGCAAGCCCACAATGCCATCAGCTGCTGTGCGAGCACGCTTGGTAGGTGGCTGCATGTGCACCGACATACGCTCAGTCATTGGATCAAGAACCTGAAACGGCCATGCGGGGGAAGGGGGTGAAGACATAATTAGTACCCGGAACCTGAAACGACCATACAGGGAAGGAGGGACACTAATATCGGAACAACCTTCCAAAGCAAACAACCAGCCACAAGAAAAAGGCAAACAGAGGACTTACACAAGGAAACTATCACTGCATATGAGCTGTCGGCTCTGACCTGTCCCACGGTGAGTTCTCCAACGTCCACACCCATGAGCATGTGATGATCCATCTGGTACTCCCCTGCAGCAGGAAAACGTAAAAAAAAATCGGAAACCAAATTAGACCTGTGTACAAGCCTACCACACCATAGACAAACCTTCATCAGCAATCAGCGCTAGCAGCATCTGCTCTACTAAAGTTCCAAAACTAAATTCCCCACTGAAAGGAACATATAAAGTCTTCGGAATACAAGCCACAAAGCCATAAAATGCCAATCAATCTTCGGATGAGAGCAAGCCCACAATGCCATCAGCTGCTGTGCGAGCACGCTTGGTAGGTGGCTGCATGTGCACCGACATACGCTCAGTCATTGGATCAAGAACCTGAAACGGCCATGCGGGGGAAGGGGGTGAAGACATAATTAGTACCCGGAACCTGAAACGACCATACAGGGAAGGAGGGACACTAATATCGGAACAACCTTCCAAAGCAAACAACCAGCCACAAGAAACAGGCAAACAGAGGACTAACACAAGGAAACTATCACTGCATATGAGCTGTCGGCTCTGACCTGTCCCACGGTGAGTTCTCCAACGTCCACACCCATGAGCATGTGATGATCCATCTGGTACTCCCCTGCAGCAGGAAAACGTAAAAAAAAATCGGAAACCAAATTAGACCTGTGTACAAGCCTACCACACCATAGACAAACCTTCATCAGCAATCAGCGCTAGCAGCATCTGCTCTACTAAAGTTCCAAAACTAAATTCCCCACTGAAAGGAACATATAAAGTCTTCGGAATACAAGCCACAAAGCCATAAAATGCCAATCAATCTTCGGATGAGAGCAAGCCCACAATGCCATCAGCTGCTGTGCGAGCACGCTTGGTAGGTGGCTGCATGTGCACCGACATACGCTCAGTCATTGGATCAAGAACCTGAAACGGCCATGCGGGGGAAGGGGGTGAAGACATAATTAGTACCCGGAACCTGAAACGACCATACAGGGAAGGAGGGACACTAATATCGGAACAACCTTCCAAAGCAAACAACCAGCCACAAGAAACAGGCAAACAGAGGACTAACACAAGGAAACTATCACTGCATATGAGCTGTCGGCTCTGACCTGTCCCACGGTGAGTTCTCCAACGTCCACACCCATGAGCATGTGATGATCCATCTGGTACTCCCCTGCAGCAGGAAAACGTAAAAAAAAATCGGAAACCAAATTAGACCTGTGTTTTCCTCCCTTGTGTCCAATACAAGAATCAAATTCCAATGGGAAACTGGCAAAAAAGTGGGGCACACAGGCCTCTGAACTGACCTGTTCCCTTGCCCACGCGCCTGATCTGAGTCACATAGTGAGCACAGCGTTGTATCGCAAGCATCTGCCACAGCAGCACCATGGACCACACAGAACATGAATGTGGTTGACACTCACTGCCCATTGCTACTGAAAAAAGAACCATGTGGCGTGAGAACCGTGACAAGGTGAATCAAATTCGATTCGGTGTAAAAAGGTGATGAAAAGGGCAGAGCAGGAGTGCTTAGAGACTCTACCGCTGGCTTGAGCAAGCGATTCTCAATGAAGTTCTGCGCTCCAGCGTCCCCTGACATCTCTGCTGCCTGCATGCGGATCAGTGAGGGATCAGAGAGGACCCATTGTTCCCGTCGTCACCACTAGCCAAGAAAATGACGTGTATAGCATCAATTTGCAACAGGAAACCACTCCTGTTTCCGCATACACACCTTGTGGAGGTTCAGGTCCTTCTCATATGCCACCTTGCCCAGAGCCAGATCATACTCCGCAACTGCCACAGAAAAAGAGAATCCATAAGCCTCCACCACTATACTATCCAGTCACCCTTGCTTTTCTACATAATAAAAGCGCGTACTCGTTAGTGCATCACCCCTTTCAGGGTCATGAAAGGACTGCGGCGGAGCCTTGATGTCCCGCAGCATGAGGCTGCCCCCACGGCCACTCTGGTGTCACCAGCAAACAAACAGCAGAGAGCAGAGATTCAACACTCAGCCGGATGGAAATAAAAAAATAAAAGCAGCCTCAAAATTGACTGGACAACGAACTGTGAATGCTGGGGAGAAAGCGAGGGAGAGAGCAGGCGCGAGCGTGGGGGGAGGGAGAGAAGGGAACAGGGAGAGGGAGGGAGGGAGAGAAGGCGAGAGAGGGCGGGAGAGTAGGATATATATAGAAAGGTGCATACGACGAAGGATGCAATGTCCTTGAAGGTCATCTGCTCTTCCAGAGAGCGCTTCCAGAAGAACTTGCCGAACCCCCAAGGGCCACAGAGTCCTTGCCACAGTAGAGGCCGAGCGCCTGATAGGCGTACGACGTTGACAGGTGTACACTGTAGCACAATCACAGATTTGTATGTGCAAAAAAAAAGCAAGAAAAAACAAGAAAACAAATCAACCACACTGAATTCAGTAGCCAATCTGATGAGGTTAAAAAATCACTCGCACAGAATTCACTTGTTTTAAGCTGAGGCCCTGCTACCGAAAGGAGCAGCACACGCACTGCTGCAGACGTGTGCCAAACACAGCCACAAAAAAACTAGAAGAAAACAAAACCAGCCAATAAACTAATTGTAAAAGGTACACCCACTTGCACGCGCAGTTGAAGGCCTTGAGGAGCGACTCGTCCAGATGCTGCCGAATCAGCGTCGGCTCCAGCTTCCCTGGAACCAGCACCTCCAGCCCGCCCAGGGCTTTGATCTCCGCCTGCCACGGGAAATGGGAAATAGACGCACGAGGGTACCATTTTTGAGGCGCCTAAAAAAAATGAACCGCCGTAGCCATAGAAATGGGATCCTGACGTAAAACCTCTATTAACGGGGATACCTCGGGATGTTGAAGGAGGTTTCATCGGGAATGACGGTGCCCGTGAGGCTCTTGCTCAGCGGCTCGGTCTCGTTTTGAGACGTCTCAAAACTAGGTTTCATCGGGAATGACGGTGCCCGTGAGGCTCTTGCTCAGCGGCTTTGAGACGTCTTATAATTTTAGTTTTGAGACGTCTCATAACGGGGATACCTCGATGTTGAAGGAGGTTTCATCGGGAATGACGGTGCCCGTGAGGCTCTTGCTCAGCGGCTCGGTCTCGAGCTTCGTCTTCAGCTGCTGCGCGTCGCTCTCCGCCGCCTTCGCGTGCGTCTTCGGAGCCATGCTTCCACGCGTACTACCTTCGCCTTATCGAAGAAGTTAATGTCGAGATACTCGACAACGTTGATGGAGCTGGGAAGTTGAAAGCTCTAAGACGATCTCAGAAACAAGAAAGACCAGATACTGAGACGTAGCAGGACCTTAATCTAGTATGGATGCCGAAGTTCTAATGGAATCCACAACGGGATCCTGTGCCGAGCCCACTACCCTTGCGTTTCCGCGTGCTCCGCCCTCGACCTACACACCTCGGTGGCTCGAACCGCATGACGAAAGAGCGGCTCGCCGAGGTAATCGTCGCAGCACGCATGTTGCTGCGGAGTTTGGAATATGCGTCTCGAAAAGCGGAGCGACACGTGCACGCTGCTGCTCCCTGTCGTAGCACCACCTGTTATTTCTCTCCCTCCTAAAGACTACGTGTCCGCTGTGAAGTGAATGGTGCGTTGCAAATAGACAGGCGAAGGAAAACTTTCACAGTTGGCAATATAATATATAGTACCACCCAATGTCCGCTAGCTTTTGTATACATTTGAAAGTACTGTTCATGTCTGTACAGTGTGAAAACCGATTTCGCTGCAACGAAAACAAGTGAGCTTGGCGAGAGTCTTGGCGAAATTTTGAAGCCAATGTGCTCTGGGGGTTGCGTTGTCAGAACACCGGAAATGCTCTCGTCACCCAACTACGAATTGAAACTGACATTCTGGAGAATATGCGACTAATTTCTCAGAAAGGCCTAGGTATAACTACATGGAAGGCGACGAGGTGGCTAGCGGAACAGTGCGACTACTCGAATAGTTGAGGTTGAGTAATGACACACTTTATAGGTGCTAGCCACGACTAGGTCAATCAATTGAGCCCGCCAAACTCCCTTTAGCTGCAGCGCCGTGCGGCATTCGGACGGGCCGTCGCGTGGCATTCGTCGAGCGCGCCGTGCGGTATACGGCGAGCCCGACGATTCCTTGCCAAGAGCGCCTCGACGAGTTGCATTCTGCTCGCTCGCCGCGGTGCAATAGTCGAATCCCTACCTACCTGCCTCGACGAGTTGCCTTCGGCGGGCTCGCCTAGCCCGCTGCTCGCGACACCCGCTTAGCGCGACACCCGCTTAGCGCGACACCCGCTTCTCACCTCACCCGCCGCGTGCCGAACCTTCTGCCCGCCTCTCGCGCTGCTCGTCTCACAAGCCATTTCGCCATTTCCCTCCCTGCTCCCCCCCGTTTTCCCCCTTGCTCCCTCTCTTTTCCCCCCGTGCTCCATCTCATTTCCCCCCTTTCTCCCTCTCATTTCCCCCCTTCTCCCTCTCATTCCCCCCCTTCTCCCGCTCATTTTCCCCCCTTCTCCCTCTCATTCCCCCCCTTCTCCCTCTCATTTCCCCCACTTCTCCCTCGCACTTCTCCCCCTCATTTTCCCCCCTTCTCCCGCTCATTTTCCCCCCTTCTCCCTCTAGTTTCCTTCCCTTCCCCCTCTCAAATCACCCCCTTCTCACTCTCAAATCCCCCTTTTCTCCCTCTCATCCCTTCCCTTCTTCTCCCCCTCATTTTCCGCCCTGCTCCCTCTCATTTCTCCCTCTTCTCCCCCACATGTCCCCCCCTTCTCCCTCTCATTTCCCTCCCTTCTCCCTCTCATTTCCTCCCCTTCTCCCCCTCATTTCCCGCCCTTCTCCCTCTCATTTCCCCCCTTTCTCCCCCAAATGTCCCCCCCTTCTCCCTCTCCTTTCCCCCCCCTCTCCCTCTCATTACCCCCCTCCCCTTCTCCCCCTCATTTCCCCCCCTTCTCGCTCTCAAATCCCCATTTTTTCCCTCTCATCCCCCCCCTTCTCCCCCTCATTTCCCCCCTTGCTCCCTCTCATCCCCCCCCTCTTCTCCCCCTCACTTCCCCCCTTTCTCCCTCTCATTTCTGCCCTTGCTCCATCTTATTTCCCCCCTTGCTCCCTCTCAGCCCCCCCCCCCCTTCTCCCTCCCATCTACCCCCGTTCTCGCCCTCATTTCCCCCCCTTCTCGCTCTCTCATTTCCCCCACTGCTCCCCTTCATTTTGCCCCCTGCTCCTTCTCACTTCCACATTTGCTCCCTCTCATTTCCACCCTTGCCGCCTCTCACTTCCACCCTTGCTCCCTCTCATTTTCCCTTTGCTCACCATCATTTCCCCCCCTGCACCCTCTCATTTTCCCCCCTTCTCCCCCACATGTCCCCCACTTTCTACCTCTCAGTTCACGTGTCCGGATGCTGTGCATGTTCACGACATGCAGGTGAGGGCGGGATCAGGTGTGGCGCGGGCGGATCAGCGTATGCTAGGTGTGCGTGTGCCTGCTGATTGATGTGCATCCAAGTTCAATGTGCATTGCAACTGCTCCCTCTCACCTCGGTTTCCCATGCCTCCCTCTCCTCTTTGCAATGACGTGATCAGGTGGCACTGAAGCAGCAGCAGGAGGAGCAGGCGAGGAGGGATGAGGAAGAGAGGCGGAGGGAGAGGGAGGAGGAGGAGGTGAGGAGGCTGCAGCGGCAGATGGTGCAGAGGGCTATACTCATGCCCTTCTTTGGACCCCCGTTTCAAACCCCGCAGGTACTGTGCGCATTACATCGCTTGCCTTCGGGCTCACACACAAACAGTCTTTCATGCCACTTGAATCACTAATGGCACTCTGTGTGTTCCTGGGGTGGCATGGTGAGGCATGCATGGTAGGAAATCTCTTAGGGTTGCATGCCGGTCAGGTAATGTGTATCTTGTGTGCACTGGATTGCTCTTTCTCCCCCTCATTACTTTCTTTCCTTTCCCCACTTGCAATTCTCCAGGCTTAGATTGAGCTCTGTCATATGTGCCCACTTTTCCCCCTTCCTCGCCCCCTCCCTCCGTCTCATTTTCGCCCCACTCCTCTCACTAACAGGTCTACCAAGCGGCCCACACTGTCTCGCTCCCATCTGCTGCACACCAATGCCAGGCATGCAACAGCAGCAGGCAGCATGTGCGGCATCTCCTTGCTTAGTTGACGGCTTCTAATTGTGATTCAACAAGCATGCATACACTTCCAACTGTGTGTTGTCGAGCTCGCTTTGCAGTACGATATTAGGAACTTTTATGGCCATTTAGCTATCTGGACTTTATCAAGTTTGATGTAACGATTCCTCGCAACCATGTCACTAAATACATAAAAGAGAAATATTATGAGACCGATTTTCTTCAGTACCATGCACGTGGCTAATCGTATGCACATGCATCTCACGCCCTCATTGCAAAATCTATCTCGATGGGCAATTCCCGTTCTCTTTCGCACCCCTCAATGTCACATTCATCCTCATCATTTTCAACCCTATCCTCGTCACCTGCAAAGGATGGGAGGGGCTGGAAGGGGATGGGAGGGGCTGTAAGGGGATGGGATGGGAGGGGCTGGAAGGGGAATGAAAGGGTTTGAAATGGGATGGGAGGGACTGGAAGGGGAATGGAAGGGTTTGAAATGGGATGGGAGGGACTGGAAGGGGAATGGAAGGGTTTGAAATGGGATGGGAGGGACTGGAAGGGGAATGGAAGGGTTTGAAATGGGATGGGAGGGACTGGAAGGGGAATGGAAGGGTTTGAAATGGGATGGGAGGGACTGGAAGGGGATGGGATGGGAGGGGCTTGAAGGGGATGGGAGTGGATGAAAAGTTATGGCAGGTGAAAGAAGGGTTTTGAAGGCAGGTAGGGGAGGCGGGAGAGATGGTTGCGAGGGCATGGAGGGGTGATGTGAAGGCAAGGACGAGAGATGCATAGGTAGGGAAAGGAGATGCATAGGTAGGGAAAGGAGATGCATAGGCAGGGATAGGAGGTGCATAGGCAGGGATAGGAGGTGCATAGGCAGGGAGAGGGAAGGGGAGAGATAGGGTGGCGGGTCGGCTAGAAGAGCCCGCCCGGGGAGGTGGGAGGAGCACGCGCAGATAACGAAGTGCAGGAAGCGAGGAGCTAAGAGGCAAGGTCCCTCCCAGTGCTGGCCTTTGCTCGCACAAACTTCGAGCACTCGGCCTCAGCAGCACTTGCAGCAACGGAGTGGCGATAGCTTCAAGGACACGCAACTGGATGGCGGGGTTCAGGACATGGTACAAAAAGCACGGAAGGTGATAAGAGGGTAGGAGAGAGGAGAGTGCAGATAATGTGAGGGAGATGGGCTGGTAGGAAGAGAGGATCGGTAGGCGGGAAAGGGAAACGGGGAGGCGGGAAGGGGTAATGGGGAGGCGAGAAGGGGTAATGGGGAGCGGGAAGAGGAAATGGGGTGGCGGGAAGGGGAATTGGGGAGGCGGGAAGGGGAAACGGGGAGGCGCGAAGGGGTAATGGGGAGCGGGAAGGGGAAACGGGGAGGCGGGAAGGGGTAATGGGGAGCGGGAAGGGGTAATGGGGAGCGGGAAGAGGAAATGGGGTGGCGGGAAGGGGAATTGGGGAGGCGGGAAGGGAAACGGGGAGGCGCGAAGGGGTAATGGGGAGGCGGGAAGGGGTAATGGGGAGCGGGAAGAGGAAATGGGGTGGCGGGAAGGGGAATTGGGGAGGCGGGAAGGGGAAACGGGGAGGCGCGAAGGGGTAATGGGGAGCGGGAAGGGAAAACGGGGAGGCGGGAAGGGGTAACGGGGAGGCGGGTAGGGGAAACGGGGAGGCGGGAAGGGGTAATGGGGAGCGGGAAGAGGAAATGGGGTGGCGGGAACGGGAATTGGGGAGGCGGGAAGGGGAAACGGGGAGGCGCGAAGGGGTAATGGGGAGCGGGAAGGGAAAACGGGGAGGCGGGAAGGGATAACGGGGAGGCGGGAAGGGGAAACGGGGAGGCGGGAAGGGGTAATGGGGAGCGGGAAGAGGAAATGGGGTGGCGGGAAGGGGAATTGGGGAGGCGGGAAGGGGTAATGGGGAGCGGGAAGGGGAAATGGGGAGGCGCGAAGGGGTAATGGGGAGCGGGAAGAGGAAATGGGGCGGCGGGAAGGGGAATTGGGGAGGCGGGAAGGGGAAACGGGGAGGCGCGAAGGGGAAACGGGGAGCAGTCGTTTCTGATTACCCTCGCGACCTCAATTGCGGCTGCCGCCGCTACTGCGGAAACGCGGTAGCGAGGCCGCGCGATCGGGCGGCGACTGTGAGGACTGTGTTCGGCAGTTTGAGACGCAGCGTGCGCGTTCATGGTGGCGTGAGGAGGCCGCGTGGTGAGGCGACGCGACGGACGACGAGGCGAGGCTGTGAGAGGAGGTCCGGCGGGCTCGCCGTGTCAGAGGGCGGAACTGACGTTGGCTCGGACGTGTAATTACACTAAACTGCCCCACGCGTCTAAGTTTGTGTCTGAAACGGGAGTGGTTTGCGCTGGCTGTTGAGTCGCGATGTGCTTAGCTACGGTTTATGCTGCCTGTTGAGCGTAGTGGCGTAGATCTCACATGGACTGGATTTCGTCTACTTTTGTTATTCCAAAAGTTTTGAATCACCTGTGAGCCCTGGGTGTCGGGGAGATCACCTCCCTTATGAAGCGAGTGAAACTAGCTGTTGCTGGGTTACCAATCTTTCAAATTTCAAAACTTTTGAACCTCCCTTTTTCAAATGTATACAAAAGCTTTAATCGGGCTAACATACCGAAAGTTGGAAGAAAAATGTGAAGATAAGCCCTCAAATGAAAACACCAGCAGCAAGCAACATGTTGATAAAACTCCAAAGAATTTTCAGCCTATTATACTCGGAGCAAACACGGCTACACTTTCTTCAGTACTAAAATCACTGCACAAGCTTTCCTAAGCCAGTGATCTCAATCGTCTTCACATCTGGCTCCCCATCCACCTTCACAATTCCTTCGGCTGCGTCCACCCCCATCAGCTTTCCCACAGCGCCTCTTAACGGGCCCCGAAGGATCTTCACGCGGTCGTGCGAACGCGGTAACACTATATCCATTTCCGAGGGTCCCACTATAAAGAGCTCTGACTCTGACGCGTTGCTTGCTCCAACACGGCATGAACCGTCCTGTGGGAAGAGGAGGAGAAGGGAGATACGGTGGGCGGAACAGAGGTAGCGGAACAGAGGTAGCACAACAGATCACACATAGCGGGAGCGAATTTCATGACTTTTTTGGAAAGAAGCAAAAAGGGTCTGCCCAGGCAAACAGTAACACTCAACGATAGCGCAAGGAAATACACTCACCGGCAGCACTTCTCGAATCACCACTGTGGTCATTCCAGGCCCCCCCTGTCGTCGCACCATCACCAGCACTCCAGGCAGCCCCAGCGACCCCCCCTCTCCTCCGTTGCTGAACCCCCCTCCCATGCCTGTACGTCAGGTGTGGTGAATACACAAACACGGATAGGAGGTTCGGTCAAGTGGCAAAAAGGAAATGTGTGAAGGACAGCAAAGAATGGAAGACTAGTGGCAGGATAGAACAGTTAAGATCAGCAAGAGGTAGCATAGAAGAGGAGGCAGCATAGAAGAGGAGGCAGCATAGAAGAGGAGGCAGAATAGCAGAGGAGGCAAGTAGTGGACGGGACGAGATGGAAGCGAACGCAAGGCAACACAAACCGGAAGGTAGGAACCGACCAATGGCGGGCGAGTTGGGGTCAGCAGGGGTCATGGGCAGGGAAGAGTCAGCAGGGGTGGCGGGAATGTAGGCAGCAGAGGGCGTGAGAGGCTGGCCCGTGGGCGTCTGCGCTGCGTACGGGCTTGGTGCCTCGCCTGGTGTGTGGGAAACAGTAGAAACAGATGGAATCCCATTCAGAGTCAGCAGGGGTCAGCAGGGCTCATGGGCAGGGAAGAGTCAGCAGGAGTGGCGGAAATGTAGGCAGCAGAGGGCGTGAGAGGCTGGCCCGTAGGCGTCTGCGCTGCGTACGGGCTTGGTGCCTCGCCTGGTGGTAACCGGGTAACACATGGGCAGGGAAACACATGGGCAGGGAAACACGGTTGCCGTAGGTATGGCACAAGGTTGAGATAAAATGCAGATTGAAGAAAGGAGATAAGGGGGAATTGCAGAGACGAGGCAACTGGAAAGAGGGATCTGGGGGGGGGACAGGGGCGGGGGAGGACACCGTAGGTAAGGAGGTTACTTTTGAGTCGACTCCAAAGTCAACTGCAAAGAGGGATCTGGGTGGTGGACTGGGGGGGGGGGAGGAAGCCGTAGGTAAGGCACAAGGGTGAGGCAGGGACGAGGAGGACGAGGTAATGTGAGTCGTTGAGTGGTGGAGGACAGGAGGAAAGCGTAGGGCGTGGAGGGGTTCGAAGAGGGTGGATATTTTGTAAGGCGTAGAGAGAGAGAGAGAGAGAGAGAGAGAGAGAGAGAGAGAGAGAGAGAGAGAGAGAGAGAGAGAGAGAGAGAGAGAGCAAGGGGGGAAGAAGGGGGTTACCATAAGGGGTGGAGGGGTTGTAGTTGGGGCCGGCTTGGCTGCCAGGAGTGGGAATGTCGAAGGCCGAGCGCAGATCGCCTGGCGTGCCGGGCTGAAAGGTGAAGAGTCAGCATTGTGGAGCGAGATGGGCCAGGGGGAAAGCAGGGGGTATAGTTTAGCGCAAGGGAAGGGAGGGAGAGGGTGGAAAGGGCTTTCCAGGAATAGGGATGTTGAAGGCTGTGCTAAATCCCCCCAATGCCAAGCAAAAAAGGACAGAATTATCAAGAAGAGGGGTGGGTGCTGGGCTAGATGTTATATGTTACAAACAACTGGGGTCAAAGGTTCGAGTGTGTGTGCATAGCTCATATATAAACACCTACATAGATAGTTCAGCACGTACATCGTGAACAGGGAGCGGAGGCGAGGCGGCAATGTCGGCGGGTGAGAAGGCGGGAGTGTAGGGCAGGAACGGAGCATCGCTGCCTGATGAACCCCATGTGGACGGATTCGCTTCGTCGAATGAGTCCGGCCTGGTGGGGAGCACAGCACAGCACAGCACAGCACAGCACCGCACAGCACAGCACCGCACAGCGCCGCACAGCACAGCACAGCACAGCACAGCACCGCACAGCACAGCACAGCACACGCAGGGGAGGCGAGACGAGTTTGAGTCAACTCAAACTTGAGAAGGCGGGAGTGTAGGGCAGGAAGGGAGCATCGCTGCCTGATGAGCCCCACGTGGACGGATTCGCCTCGTCGAACGAATCAGGCCTGGTGGGAAGCAGAGCACACAAGTGGGAAGTGGAGTTGACAGTTTGAGAGCATGGGTGTGGCACGGTGCCCAAGCAGCCCAGCTGTGCAGGCGTGTAGGGCAGGAAGGGGGCGTCGCTGCCTGATGAGCCCCACGTGGATGGATTCGCCTCGTTGACCGAGTCGGGCCTGATAACAGGAAGAGCACACAGAAAGGGACGACCAGACATTGAAAGGAACAACGGCAAAAAAAAAAAGGACTTCGAGACTGCAGAACTGAGCACAACGCAGTGTTTAAAAGGGACCATTGAGTCGATTGGAAAACTGAGCATGGAGAAATTTAACGGAAATAGTACCTGAGGGGAGTGGTGGGAACATGGGGGTTCCAAGCCCTGTCTCGCATGGGAGTGCGCATGCCCTCGTGCACTGGTGTGGCTGCATGATGCACCGGAAAAGAGGGAAGGGGGGAGGGAGAAATGGCGGGGGGTTCGTGACTGAGTATCTTAGAGTGGAGAGGGAGAAGGAGAGGCGGAAGAAAGAATCCGGAGGGAGAGGGAGAAGGAGGCAAAAAGTCGTGTGAAGAGAGGGAGTTGGCAGGGAATTTAATGAGGGTTGGTGTAATCCTTGTGGAGGTTAGCTGGGCACATAGCGCAAGCTGCCTATAGCCTTGACCCATGTGCATTGAGGTGTGTTTTGACCCATGTGCATCAAAACACACCGTAATCCTTAGGGAGGTTAGCTGGGCTCATAGCGCAAGCTGACTACAGCCTTAACCCATCTACAACTATGGAGAAGCATAAAAACCAGCGGTAGCGGAGGGCCGAAGGACTAGTGAAGGAATAGGGAAGCTGGCGTACCAGAGGGGTCGAAGCCCCGGCCGCCAAAGCCTGGATGCATGGGCGTGCGTGAGGGATGGACTGGCGTCTCGCTGCCCAGCGATCCTCTGAAGCGCGGGGACTCCCTAAAGGGTGGGGGGGGGAGGCAAAGGGGGGGGGGGAAGGGCACCGAGTGCAGGAGAAACGCAGAGAGAAGTGAGGCTTCTGAGGAGTAGGAGCTCAAGTACAGATAGAATGAATGGGCGTGTCACTGCCAAGTGACTTGGTTGTGAGGTGCGTCACCACCCCACCTTCTCCCCCTGCTCCCCCCCTCACCTATTTTGAAATTTCTCAAAAGCATACATCTACAAAGCATCCCCCCTCCACCCCCCCTCCTCCCCCATCCCCCCCTCTCTCCTCAACTCCCCTCTGCTCTCCTCCCCTCCCCCAACCATGCACATACCTGTATGGTGCGGGAGATTGCTGCTGCTGTCCGGCTGCTGGAGCTCCATCAGGTAATTGATCCCTCCGCACTGCACCACCACGCACCACCACACACCACCATGCACCACCACGCACCACCACACACCACCATGCACCACCACGCACCACCACACACCACCATGCACCACCACGCACCACCACACACCACCATGCACCTCCACACACGACCACACACCACCATACACCAACATGCAACACCACGCACCGCCACGCACCACCACGCACCACGCACCACCACGCACCACCACGCACCACCACCACCACGCACCACCACCACCATGCACCATCATCACACAGAGACACAAAGAGAACATCTGAAGTTGATCACTGAGGGCAAACACCACATCTCAAGTTCACAGCCACTAAGATTCAGAAGCATGAGATGAGACATGTTAATACAACCATCCATCAGCCATTCCCCATCAGCAATCGCCGTACAAGTGACGATATACCTACATATATACATAACAACATACCAGTGACAACTTTCATCTGCGATTTAGACTCAACTCGTGCCGTGGTGTCTGCGGAATCAATCAAGCATCCGGCCTCTAAAAAGAGTTTGTACCCCTCATAAGCCCAGCACATCTTCACATTGTGCGACAATACAGTGTACCTGTGACGACTTTCATCTGCGACTCGAGCTCGACTCGTGCCGTGGCGTCAGTGGCATTAAGCACCCAGCCTCTGTAAAGAGTCTGAACCACTTATAAGCCTCTCCCCACTGTAGCATTAAAGCATACCTGTGACGACTTTCATTTGCGACTCGAGCTCGATCCGCGCCGTGGTGTCAGTGGCATCGAGCACCCGGCCTCTGTACCCCTTATAAGGCCCTGCTCGGATTTTCACAATACGTCCCACCATGCCACTTTCCCGTCTGTTCCCCATCCGCCCTCCCCCATACGCGCCTGAGGGGGAGAGGGGAAGGGGGAGGGGGAGGGGGAAGACGAGAACATGGGCAGGAGAAGGGTGGCAGGAATAATCTGAGAGAAGGGGAAAGTGGGAAATGAGATGGGATCTTGAGTCTGCAAGCTAAACTGTGCCTAAATGTCACCTCCGATTAATTTAAACAAAACCCAGCCCAACAAAATCCAACCCAGCCCAGTACAACCCAACCGTACTTCACCCAGCTGAACAGCTCACCAGGAGGGGGCCCATCTCCTCTGCCGCCTTGTCTGCTGGGGCTGCCGGGGAAGCTCCTCGGGGACTGCAGAAAGCGTGACGGCGACTGCATGAACCCTCCCTTTTCAACTCAACCCATCCCAAACCAGCCCAACCCACCCCAATCCAACTTTGCAGCAACCTAACCCATGTGGGAAGCTCACCAGGAGGAGGCCCGCCTCCTCTGCCGCCGCCTTGTCTGCTGGGGCTGCCAGGGAAGTTCCTCGGTGATTGCAGGAAGCGCGAGGGCGACTGCATAACTCCACCGAACCGCCGATCGAATGGTGCCATGGCTCCTCCTCCGCCGCCGCCACCTGCCGAGTTGCGCTGTGGAAAGGGGGGTCAAGGCAATGCAGAGACAGAAGGGGATGAGTCGACCATGACTGCAGGAAGCGCGAGGGCGACAGCATCACTCCACCGAAGCTCCGGTTGAGCGGTGCCATGGCCCCGCCATATAAAATCCAATCCGCGTGAAAGTAATCTAGTTTTGAGACGTCTCAAAACTCCGGTTGAGCGGTGCCATGGCCCCGCCATATAAAATCCAATCCGCGTGAAAGTAATCTAGTTTTGAGACGTCTCAAAGCTCCGGTTGAGCGGTGCCATGGCCCCGCCATATAAATCCAATCCGCGTGAAAGTAATCTAGTTTTGAGACGTCTCAAAACTCCGGTTGAGCGGTGCCATGGCCCCGCCATATAAAATCCAATCCGCGTGAAAGTAATCTAGTTTTGAGACGTCTCAAAGCTCCGGTTGAGCGGTGCCATGGCCCCGCCATATAAAATCCAATCCGCGTGAAAGTAATCTAGTTTTGAGACGTCTCAAAACTCCGGTTGAGCGGTGCCATGGCCCCGCCATATAAAATCCAATCCGCATGAAAGTAATCTAGTTTTGAGACGTCTCAAAGCTCCGGTTGAGCGGTGCCATGGCCCCGCCATATAAAATCCAATCCGCGTGAAAGTAATCTAGTTTTGAGACGTCTCAAAGCTCCGGTTGAGCGGTGCCATGGCCCCGCCATATAAAATCCAATCCGCGTGAAAGTAATCTAGTTTTGAGACGTCTCAAAACTCCGGTTGAGCGGTGCCATGGCCCCGCCATATAAAATCCAATCCGCGTGAAAGTAATCTAGTTTTGAGACGTCTCAAAGCTCCGGTTGAGCGGTGCCATGGCCCCGCCATATAAAATCCAATCCGCGTGAAAGTAATCTAGTTTTGAGACGTCTCAAAACTCCGGTTGAGCGGTGCCATGGCCCCGCCATATAAAATCCAATCCGCGTGAAAGTAATCTAGTTTTGAGACGTCTCAAAGCTCCGGTTGAGCGGTGCCATGGCCCCGCCATATAAAATCCAATCCGCGTGAAAGTAATCTAGTTTTGAGACGTCTCAAAACTCCGGTTGAGCGGTGCCATGGCCCCGCCATATAAAATCCAATCCGCGTGAAAGTAATCTAGTTTTGAGACGTCTCAAAACTCCGGTTGAGCGGTGCCATGGCCCCGCCATATAAAATCCAATCCGCGTGAAAGTAATCTAGTTTTGAGACGTCTCAAAACTCCGGTTGAGCGGTGCCATGGTTGAAGCCCCACCGCCGCCACCAGCACCAGCCGAATTGCGCTGTGATAAGGAGGGAGAGTCAACGGGGGAGAAAAGGATAACGGGAATTGATAACTCATTCATCCACTTCTCCTCCCAGCCTCTCTCATGCGCCAAAAGAATCTGTTACGCCGTACCCCATCCCCACTCACCCCGGTGGCAGCAGCAGCTTTTGCAGTGAGGCATCGCACGGACCGCGCGCGGACGCAGAAGAACCCGCCATTCTCCACGTGATGCCGGTCGAACACAAACAGCACCCCGCGGTGAATGTGCTCAACCGTGCCTCGCCTGTCCCTGTAAGTCCCCTCCACCACGCGCACCGGGTCCTTTGCCACCACCGGCAGGCCCTCCGCATCGTGCGCCGACACGTGCCGGTTGTTCATCTTGCGCCGGATCTCCCTCAGCTTCACTGCCACTGTCTCGCTGCGCTCAGGTGTGGCCTTGAGGACCACGCAGCCGGTTTTCTCGACCTTCACAATCACGCCTGCCGTGGTTTGGCTGCGAGGGGGTGCATGGACAGATGGGACAGACAGAGGGTTGAAGGGGCAGCACTGAGAGGGGCAGCACTGAGAGGGGCAGCACTGAGAGGGGCAGCATGGACAGGCGCCTACACGGGACCTGCCATGATTTCACCGGCACACACCCTCCCTTCCCTCATTCCTTCCCCCAGCCCCCCCCCCACTTTACTCACTCGAGTAGCACCAGGTCGTGCAGCTCGTAGTCGCCGGCCAACCACCTACTCGCCACCCTTTCCCTGCTCCCCCACCCCTTCCCCCAGCCCCCCCCCCCTTTACTCACTCGAGTAGCACCAGGTCGTGCAGCTCGTAGTCGCCAATCTGAGAGGGGCCTGCTGTCACCTCTGAGCTTGACATGAGATCGCGGGTGAACACCCGTACCTGCGAGGGAGGGGGAGCAGGAGACTTTTGAGTCAACTCAAAAGTGACTTGGTGACTTTTGAGTCGACTCAAAAGTGACTTGGTGAGTTTTGAGTCGACTCAAAGTGACCTCGGCCTGCTGTCATCTCTGAGCTTGACATGAGATCGCGAGTGAACACCCGCACCTGTGAGGGAGGGAGAGCAGGAGGGCAGGAAGAGGGGAGGGAAGAGAGGACGGAAGAGGGGAGTGAAGAGGCCGGGGGACGAAGCAAAGGAAGAGAGGTGGAGATGAAACAAGAGATGCAACAGGCAAAAACGTTACTCGACAACAACCACTACACACAACAACCATCACCCACCCACATGCCCTGTCGACGTGTCTGCCGCACCACCATGATGGCAATGTGCCCCTCCACTCCACCTTCACTTCACTATCATTCCTGTCACCTTCGCATTGTTCAGTCCCCTTCTGCATCACCTTGCCGCCTCATGATCAAAGTTGGAGTCATTTTCTAAAATTCTAAAAAATGACTCCAACATGATCACAGCTCGCTTTTGAGTCGACTCATAAGTCGTTTTGAATCGACCCAAACGCCATTTTGATTCTGTAGGCACCATACTCACATCACATGCTCCCTCGACGTGTCTGACAGACAGCACGATGGCAATGTGCCCATCCAATCCACCTTCACAATCATGCCCGTCACTCTGTCGCTCTGCCCCCCTCTGCATCACACAGGCGCCTTGAGTTCACCCTACAACCACCGTACAGTCAGCGTGCCATCACCAGTCAGTCACCAACCATCGCACTCACATACCCCCTTGACGTGTCTGACAGCACGATGGTGATGTGCCCCTCCACCTTCACAATCATGCCTGTCACGCCACCTCTGCGAGACACCGTCGCCTTGTAGTGAACACACAACCACCTCACAACCACGCTACAACCATTCTACTCACGTGCTCTCTCGACGTGTCTGATAGTGCGATGGCGATGCGCCCCTCCACCTTCACGATCGTGCCCGTCACTCCGTCATCCTGCCCCCTGTCCTAACACCACTCAGTCACTGTACCTTGTGCACTCACCCTGAATTCACCCCACTCACATGCTCCCTCGATGTGTCTGACAGCACGATGGCGATGTGTCCCTCCACCTTCACAATCATACCCGTCACCCCGTCGTTCTGCCCTGCCACCACCTTCACGTGGTCCCCCGTCTGGAAGAACTTACGCAGCTGCGACTCCTTCACCGGCAGCAGATCCTGTGAGGTGGGGGGAGGAGTTGATGCACAAAGGAAGAACAGAAGCAGAATGGATGTGTGAAAGATGCGTACCCAGCTGCCACCCTGTTAATCTGCCCCACCACCAACTTCAGGTGGTCACTTGTCTGGATTCAACTGCACATTATCGCCTACAGAAACCACGCAAAACTGCACTGCACCACAAAGTATCCTCCCAAACCGCTCACCTTGAGCTCTTCATGGTGCGGCCGAATGATAACCTCATCCTCATCCACATTCACCAATGCCCTTTTAACCCCTTCCTCAGCTATCCCCTATGCGTAAGTTAACTACACTACACCACACCGAAGCTTACAAAACCGTACAGAACCACTGAGAACCGCACTGCACCGCAGCACATCTTTCCCAGCCACTCACCTTGAGCTCTTCATGGTGCGGCCAAATGATAAACTCGTCCTCATCCACCTTCTCCACCCGTCCTTTCAACCCCTCACTCAGCTTGGCTACCCCCTATGCCTAGGTAAACCACACTGAAGCTCACAGAACTGCACAGAACCGCACTGCATCGCACCGTATCCTCCCCAGCCGCTCACCTTGAGCTCGTCATGGTGTGGCCGAATGATAACCTCATCATCATCCACCTTCTCCACGCGCCCTTTCAACCCCTTCAAATCGCCCTCCACCACTTCAACCACATCCCCCTTCACCAGCCGCCCCCTCTGCCGATTCGCCTGCTCAGCAGACAGCCCCATCGGCCCCACCCCACTCCCCAGCCCCCCTCCGCCCCCGCCATACTCCCCCCGCTCCCCGTCCCCTGCAGCACGCTGAAAGCGCTGGAGCTCGTCTAGAGTTGGGACAACCCCGCGGGTGTCGAGGGATTTAATGGAGACCACTTTGAGGAGATAGCCGTCGACGAATTGCATGCCTTCAATGGACTGGATGTGCTCTCCTGTGGTGCGATGGCGGGTCACCATGGGACGCAGGCCATAGTTCCTGCAGGAAAACAGAAGGGGAGGGAATTACAATGTACACAGGAAGGCAGGAGGAGAGGTGTATCAGCAGGCAGGTAGCCATCGACGAATTGTATGCCTTCAATGGACTGGATGTGCTCTCCCGTGGTGCGATGCCGGGTCACCATGGGGCGCAGCCCGTAGTTCCTGTGTTGGTAGGGGTGGAGTTATGTATGTATGAGCAGAAGGGAGGCGATCAGACAGCAGGTACCCATCGACGAATTGAATGCCCTCGATTGACTGGATGTGCAGTCCCGTGGTGCGATGGCGGGTCACCATGGGACACAGCCCATAGTTCCTGTGATGAACCGAGCACCGGAGGGGGGAGGGGAGAGAGGGGAGGGGAACAGAGGGTGGGCGGGAAGGGAGGTGGTCCATGAGCAGGCAGGTAGCCATCGACGAATAGCATGCCTTCAATGGACTGAATGTGCTCTCCCATGGTGCGATGACGGGTCACCATGGGGCGAAGGCCGTAGTTCCTGTGGTGGAGTGAGCACGGGGTGAGGGCGAACAGGCGCAGGGTCGGGACAAGACGACCCTTCCTTTCCCCATCCGCCCATCCCTACCTACCTATTCCCCAACGATCATCTCGCCCATACACATACACACGTCTCTGCTCACCGTTCCACATGCACTCACTTTGCCTCGTCCACACTGAAGAACCGCGGAGCAGGTTGGGCCTTGCCCTTGACCACAGGCTTGTTGTCCTGCTCACGCTGGTGGGTGCATTTTCCCCATACACATACACGCCCTCCACACCCTCCACACCCCTCCCACCCACCCTTCCACGCCCACTCACTTGGCCTCATCGACACTGAAGAACCGCGGAGCGGGGCGGGCCTTGCGCTTCACCACAGGCTTGTTGTCCTGTACGCAAGAGTGCATGCGTGGGGAGAGTGGGACTACAGGGTGCAGGTTAGAAAGGAGATAATAAGGAAGGCGGAGAGGGGGGATTGAGGGGCGGGGCGGGCCATGGGGAGGGTGGGACTATAGGGTGCTTGTTGTCCTGCACAGCACACGAGCATGCACCCATGGAGAGGGTAGGACAATAGGGTGTAGGTACATGATTGAAGAAATGTTTTGAGACATCTCAAAACACTTCAATCACAGGCTTGTTGTCCTGCACACGAGCATGCACCTATGGAGAGGGTAGGACAATAGGGTGTAGGTTAGAAAGGAGATAATCACCAAGGGGAGGAGGGAGGAATGAGGGGTAGGCAGAAGGACTGGGGGCGCAGGGAGGCGAGACTTGGTTCGTTCAGAGAGCATTACAGGACAATCGATACAAGGTCGCCTGCTGCTGAGTGTGTGTGTGTGTGTGTGTGAGTGAGTGAGTGTCTCTGAGAAGGTGGTTAAGTGCAAGCAATCACACCGCACGCACACTCTCACAGCAAGGCACTCTCGCATGCAGCTGGGCTGGGCACGGATTAAAAGAAGAAAGAAAGAACCCACCTGCCGCTCCTCCAGGGTTTTTTAGTCGACTCAAAAACAGGCTCAAAAATTTGAGTCGACTCAAAAAGAGGCTCACAGGATGGCACTATCGCTCGCATGCAGCTGGGCACGGATCAAAGGAAGAAAGAAAGAACCCACCTGCCGCTGCGCCAGGGCCTGGAGGTCGATACGAGGGATGAGCTTGATGGTGGCCCTCTGCTTCACTGTGTCCACGTCAGTCACCTGCACATGTGACGTGGCATGGGGTGGCATGGGTTGGCACGGGGTGGTATGGGTTAGCATGGGGTGTTGTGTGGCATGAAAAAGGCGTGGTGCATTGTGCAACGGCACTTGGGGTGGCACAATGACATTTCGTGGTGATGGCGCTAGCGAGCACGGGGCAGCTCGGGGCAGCAACGGGCACTCTGAACCGCACTCACCAGCGCCAGGTCGCCCTTGTACAGCCCGATCTTGATGCGCACCCAGCTGTTCTCCTCCAAGAGAGCATGGCACTCAGCACCACACCCACTCCCTCTCCCAATCACCTCCTCTTCTTCACACACCCACCGTTCAAGGCACTCACCAGCGTGAGGTCGCCCTTGTACAGCCCGATCTTGATGCGCACCCAGCTGTTCTCCTCCAGGTCCACCGACTTCTGCTCCACCGTCAGCCCTGCCCTGCCCGCCTCAGACCCCCACTCGCTGTTCCCCCCCCCCCCCCCCCCTGCTCCCTTCCTCACACACTTACACTCAACCACACACAACCACTTTGAACCGCACTCACCAGCGCCAGGTCGCCCTTGTACAGCCCGATCTTGACGCGCACCCAGCTGTTCTCCTCCAAATCAACCGACTTCTGCTCCACTGTCAGCACGCCCGCCATCTCCTTTATCGGCACCAGCGCCGGCTTCCACGCCCTCAGCAGCCGCAGCCCCGCACATGCCTGGGGGGAAGCGAGGGAGGGTGGGGTGGAGAGGCTAAGGATCCAAGCCTACTACAGCAAACTGCTTCTTGTATATGCCTGGCGCCTTTTGAGGTGACTTTTGAGGCGCCTCAAAAGTCGCGCACTACAGCACACTGCTTCCTGTATATGCCTCGCTTAGCCTCGCAGATCAAAACAACTAGATGCGGGCGCTGGGATTGCCGCTCCTCCTTGGTGTGCGCCTCCATGTACACCTTATAAGACGCTCCACATACATACGTGCATGCATGCGGTAGCTCCCAACGCACCTCCTTGACGTAGGCCTCCTTGTACGCCTCCACGTACACGCACCCCTTGAGGTTGTCCAGGGCTATCGCGGATTTGATCTGCAGATTCTGCCCCAGTGCCTCCAGGTTCACGCACTTCTGCATCAGTGACACCACCGCCTCTCGCTCATGGCCCAGCTGCGAGGGGGGTTGGGTGAGGGGGGAGAGGGGGGGGGAAGAGGGGATGAGTTGATATGGGAAAAGAGGCGGGACTGATTTGATCTGCAGGTTCTGTCCCAGTGCCTCCAGGTTCACGCACTTCTGCATCAGTGACACCACTGCTTCGCGCTCGTGGCCCAGCTGCAAGGGGAGAGAAAGAGGGGGGGATGGAGGGAGAAGAGAGGATGGGGTGATATGGGAAATGGAAGAGACTAATTTGATCAGCAGATTCTGCCCCAGTGCCTTCAGGTTCACGCACTTCTGCATCAGCGACACCACAGCTTCGCGCTCGTGGCCAAGCTGGGGGGGAGAGAGGTGGGGGGAGGGGATGAGGGATGGGGAAACGGAAAGATGATTCAATCTGCAGCGTCTGCCCCAGTGCCTCCAGGTTCACGCACTTCTGCATCAGCGCGCGCTTGGCACAGCCAGCCAAGCCCAGCCCAGCCCAACTCGGCACCGCACTGCACCGCGGCGTACCTCGCACTTGACCATCCAGAGCTTGGGGTCGCGCACGGACGGCAGCAGCGCCTGCTGCTCGACCTCCGTGGCCTCCCCCTCGCCCAGCTCAGGCACCTCGTTGCGCGCATACCGCTCCTCCAGGAACCGCTGGTAGTCCTCCTCGTTCACCTCCTCCTCCTCCTCGTTGCGCCGCAGCAGCGTGCGGTGGTGCGCCGACGGGCGCTCGTTGCCCAGCTCCTCCCCCAGATCCGCGTCCCGGTCGATGAAGCCTGGGAGGGGGGTGGCAACAAGGAGGTACAACGGGGGGTTGATAAGGCAACGGATGCGGTGGTGCGCGGAGGGGCGCTCGTTGCCCAGGTCCTCGCCCAAATCCGCGTCCCGGTCGATGAAGCCTGTGTGGGGATCTCAAGGCGGTACAGAAAAAGAAGGGAGGGGCATGGATTGGTGGGGTGGTGCGGCCGGTTCCCAGCTCCGCGCTCCATTCCGCGTCCAGGTCGACGAAGAGACTTTTGAGTCGACTCAAAAGTCACCTCGTTCCCAGCTTCGCACTCAAATCCGCGTCCAGGTCGATGAAGCGTAGGTGGATGGAGAAGGGATGCGACAAGAAATTCACGACATCAACTCCTGTCTGCTCCGCTTCTCAGTCTATCGTGAACAGTAATAATTTTTTAATTGAGTCGGAAGGATGTGAAGATGAGAACAGTGTTTACGTCCGTCCCACTTGTCGACTTTGAGCCTAAGAACGCGAAGCGACGCCGAAGGAAGCATCTACGCGCAACCCTAATTTGTCCATACTCTGCCTGCGAGAAGGAGGCGTAGCCGATTTGGCCATCCCTTACGGAACATAATGTGTTGACCCTCCATACGAAACACTCGACCCACCGTCCTCCCTTTCTTCCTCCTCCTCCTCGTAATCACTCGCCACTGCTGCTGCTTCCTGAATGAACATCTACCGAACCCCACCAACCATCAAACCCTTCTTCTTCCTCAAGAATCGAAACCCTAATTGATGTTCTACGCGCCTAATAAACCCAACGTACCGTCCTCCTCTTCCTCCTCCTCCTCCTCGTCATCACTCGCCACCGCCGCTTCCTCTTCAATGAACATCGACCGGCCGGTCGTCGAGCCCTTCTTTTTCCTCGGCGCTTCGTCCTCCTCGTCCTCGTCCTCATCCTCCTCCGCCGCGTCGTCGATGAACTGCGATCCGCGCCCTCGCTTCTTCCCGCGTTCCTCCTCGTAGTCCTCCTCTTCCTCCTCCTCCTCCTCGTATTCCTCGTCATCCTCCTCTACCTCGTCGTCGTAATCGTCGCCACGCGCCATTTCGCTTCCCTAAAAAAGCTTCGCGAATAAAAAAAAGGATAGGATTCTGCAGATGAACTGGCCCACGCAACTGACGATAAGGCGTGGGTTTCTTTCAGCGAATTCTAGTCGATTAGAAATCGGTATACCGAGAACGGCGGAAGGGTCACGCCCGGTAGTTGAAGCTTGCTGGCCAACAAACCAAAGGGAGAACGCTGGAAAGTAAACCGTAAGAACCAACAGGGCTTCTCCCACGAGACAGAAAATGAGAAAGCAACTAAGTGTCGAGGACGACTAGGGTTGATGAGAGACGTGAAGGCTGTGGCGAGGCGATCTACCTGACTGACTCGTCCGATTTGACTCACAGGCGATCTACCTGTGACTGACCGAAAGGAGGTGAGGAAAATGGATGACGAATGCAAGGCAGCGATCTTCTTTGTGGTATTCTGGCAGGAACTGGGAGCAATCGACCATGTGGCTGACGGGTGTAAGGAGGGACGCGACTGCAGAAAGATTGTTTCACTGTACAGCGCAAGCAATCAAACATATAAAACATTTATACTCAGAGGTATCTGTGCCCAACTAGGATTACCGCCAGGAAAACCGGATCCTACATACTATTAGCACATTGATTACACAAAAATACAATCACGATCAAGTATCTGAAATCCTCCACAATCCAGCCGTTTTGAATCTTGCTAACTTGTTATCCTTTCCAGACATCCAATTATTGTGGATCGTCACGACCGCGTCACGGCTAGGGAGCACTCCTAGTCTACCTGGAGGCATGGAAGACGACTCGGGAAAATAGAGCCACCCTGGAGGAAACAGAGTCTGTGGAAGAACTCCAACTAATGGAGCTGGGCTGATATTCAACAACTCATAAATGACCATTCCCAGATAAAGCTGGTCATTCTCCCGCCCTGTAACTTTTGGTGCCCGGTATATCTTCAATATAAGCAGCTCCAGTATAAGCCTTCCTCCCGGCGTGTTGCGGAAGAGAACAAAGCCACCGCAGAGCTTGGCATGGTCAAGCTGAGCAGGTCGAGGATCCATGAGGTATGTGGAAGTTGTGTAGAAATTGTATGTATCCGGAAACTCCCGCACTCCCACCACATCATACTCTATGGGAGCTACTCCGGAAGCGGGCAAAGCTTGCAGATCTGAGTCGGAAACAACATATCGTTTTCTCTTGTTGTACAGTCCCAGAGTGTTGGTTAACTGGAGCCGCGAAGCCATAGACCTCCTTAAAACCTCCGAGTGGCTTGGCCTTGCAAAGAGGTAAGGAAAGGGATCCTTGACCCAGATGAAATCCGAGTCGCAAATCAGGACATTAAAGCCCAAGTTGAGGAGCGTGCGGATGTAGGCAACTCTCCGATACATGAGCTTCTTAAAGCCCAGCGTGAGGAAAGAAAAGGCCTCTCTGCTGCTGCCACTGCCACTGCTCCCTGCACTGCCACCCCTGGCACTACCAATCTCCTCCACCAGTCCTGCTGCCTTCAGCTCCTCCTCTCCCGCCTGCTCTATCTCCGGCACGTGCCATCTCACCACCTGATGCCCCAACCGTTGTGGGGCAAAGGGTTGGGCGAAAGGGTTGAGGAAAGGGGTCGAGGAAATTGGGTCGGTGAAAATGGGTTGGGGAAAATTAGTTGGGGAAATTGGGTTGGGAGATTGGGTTGGGAAAAATGGGACTTTTACGGCGCCTCAAATGATCATCCAGCAGTCCTGCTGCCTTCAGCTCCCCCCCTCCCCCCCCCCCCCCCCCCCCCCCCCGCTTGATCTCCCCGAAATATTAATTTGAGGGAAAAAAAAAAAACAAACAAACAAACAAAAAATGTCTGTGACCTTGGTAAACACTCGGTATGCGATGCCGCATGCACAAAGATATAAGACAGCGGTGCCTCACTCAGTCTTGGGGAACCCGTGTGTGTCGCACCTGTCTCGGAAATCTCTCTCTCAGCAGCTCAAATGTCTCCCTGTCTTCCGCGAACACAGGGAAACTCCGCCCATACCCCAGCCCGCCCGCATACACACAGGCATCACACAGCGGTGCCGCACCTACCTCTGCTGGGAACTTCTGGTGTGTCGCACCTGTCTCGGAAATCTCTCTCTCAGCAGCTCAAATGTCTCCCTGTCTTTCGCAAACACAGGGAAACTCCGCCCATACCCCAGCTCGCCCGCATACACACAGGCATCACACAGCGGTGCCGCACCTACCTCTGCTGGGAACTTCTGGTGTGTCGCACCTGTCTCGGAAATCTCTCTCTCAGCAGATCAAATGTCTCCCTGTCTTCCGCAAACACAAGGAAACTCCGCCCGTACCCCAGCTCGCCCGCATACACCGCCCAGTTGAGCAGAAAATCCGCGTAGCCTTGGATAGAGCGAGGGTGGGTGGGGGGTGGAGGGGCGGTGGGGGAAGGAGAGTGGGGCATGGAGGCAGGTCAAATGGGAGAGTGTAATGCCGCTCGCCCGTACCCCAGCTCGCCCGCATACACCGCCCAGTTGAGCAGAAAATTCGCGTAGCCTTGGATAGGGCGAGGGGGAGGGGAAGAGCCGTGTGGAGGGGGGAGGGGGGGATGGGAAAAGAAAACGGAGAGGGAGAAGAGAGGAGAGGATAGGGGAGGACAGGAGTGGACGAGAGGAGAGGAGAGGAGAGGAGAGGAGAGGAGAGGAGAGGAGAGGAGAGGAGAGGGGAAGAGGACGCGGAAGCGGGAAACAAGGGAAGTGGACGTGGCAGAGCTGAGGGAAGATGCGGGGAAGCTACGTGACATCAAATTAATACAGCAGCAGAATCTCTCACATTTATTGATACCACATGGCTGTAGACTTTACTTGTAACTGGTACAACAAGTACCGTGCCTCAGCGTCTTACCATAGCTGCACACCGGGATCACAACAGTGCCGTTGATTGAAGCTTCTTGTGCTAGCTGCCTAAGTGTACTGGCTGACACATATCCCTCTGAATCCCACTCTGGCTCGCTCAACACCTGTTTCCGCTGCCCCTTCAACTGCCCGTTTGAGTGTGCTTGAGCTGCTGAACCTGTTTCCCTGGGCTGCCCTCGGAAGGAATCTAAGGAGCTTTTTAGATTTGCAAATCCCCCATTGTTGATATGCACTGCTTCAATGTTACCCACTGCTTCAGCATTCTGCTCGGAACGGGGCTCTTTATAACGAGGTAAGATTGCATCCGTCTCTTCTGGCTTGTATTGACTCCCTAAGGGAAGAAGCTTCCGAGAATCCATGGATTGGAGCCAGTCAGGCACGGAAGCAGCACCAGGCGAAGCTTTAGTCGAAGACTCAACAGGGTAACCAGCCTCGGAAAATTCGCCTGCTCGTTCGCCTTTATTCCCGGAAAGCGAGGAGGAAGCGGTACTAGGGGAAGGAATCTCGAAAGCGGAAGGAAATGATAGTGGAGTTTGCAGTGCAGGTGAAGGTACTGAGACTAAGTGGCTCTTGGTAGTGTGCTTCGAGAAAGGCGACGAGATGAGCTGAAAATGGCGATTAAAGATCACCACGAATGTGAAGAGGAGAAGGGCGGGCAAACCGAGTGCCTTCACACATGCGGGTGAGCAAAGCGCCGACGCGCGTAACCGTTGCTGCTGCTGCTGCTGCTGCTGCTGCTGCACGGTGCGGCGCATCTTGCGAAGGGTTATTTACAACCAAGGGGAAATTGTGAACATTCTCTGCCTAGACATGCTATGGACTAGAATTCTAAGTGAATAAGGGTAATTATACGCGTTATGAGGCACCGACATCTCAAAGGAATCGGAGATTTATGTATTTGTCGTCCTGGCTAAAAAGTATATGCAGCACATGAGGAACATATGCTATGAGTGCTAAGATAGAAAACAAAATTATAGCGCAAAGAGTGTTGAAGTGTAAAAATCTCGGGTTATATGAAGATAACTTCTAATCGAGGGCAAGGATGATCGTTCAAATACTTGGTGAACTGCTCCGTGGTTTGAAACCACGCACTCCCGAACATGGCCTCCCTCTGATTTGACCCTGCCGGATATATGTGGAAAATCCGCAGAGCCTTGATCCTCTTTTCCGACGCCAGAACGGCTGGTCTCTTGCCGACCCAAACAGGCTTGTACCCCTTCTTTTTGAAGGTTCGGCGAATGGCTCGGCGTAGGCCCGGTAGGGTGAGTGCAGTGCTTGTAAGGAAGACGGAGGTGTAGCGATATGTGCCTCTTTCACGCACGTAGAGATGGTATGTCAGCTGCTTCTTGCCCGAATCTACACTCTCACACCTGTTACGTATGGGCGTGAGATGGGTTGGGTTACAGGTGTCAGCATAAGCAACAAGAAGAGGGGAAGAGGGAGGAGGGAGGACGGGGGAGGGGGTAAGAGGGAGGGCGGCAGCAAGGACAGAAACATGGTATTGCAGGGGAAGCGAAGGCAGAAGCTCTGGACTTAGAGGGAGAGAGAATAGAGAGGGGAAGAAAGGGGAGAGGTGAAGGAAGATAGAAAAAAGAGGGTGGGGAAGGAACGAGGAGCAGAGTGGAGGGGAGGTTAGAGGAGGGAGGGGAGGGGAGGGGAGGGGAGGGGAGGGAGGGGAGGGGAGGGGAGGGGAGGGAAGGGAAGGGGAGGGGAGGAGAGGGGAGGGAAGGGAAGGGGAGGGGAGGGGAGGAGAGGGGAGGGAAGGGAAGGGGAGGGGAAGGGAGGAACGAACACGTTGCACTCACCTGCAGGGCCGTGGCTTGCGCGAGGCAGCGATCTCTTGTGTGCGGATGCGATCCGCCAGCAACACACAGAGGCGGCAGGGAGATAGGGGAGGAGAGGGGAGGAGAGCGGAGAGAGACTCACCTGCATGGCCGTGGCTTGCGCGAGGCAGCGATTTCTTGCGTGCGGATGCGGTCGGCCAGAAGCACACAGAGGCGGCAGGAGGAGTGCACAGCCGACAGATCCACGTTGGCGATGAACTGATCCGACGGCCCAGATCGCTTCCACTCAAGCATCTTGTTGTACGCGTCCTCGTCTGCTGCTATGGCCTGCATCTGCCGCGCCACCCTGGGAACGTCCTCCTCGCTCTGCGGGGGGAAAAAGGGGAGGGTGGGAGTGGGTAGAGAGGTATGCAGAGTGGTCCAGATGGCTTCCACTCGAGCATCTTGTTGTAGGCGTCCTCGTCTGCTGCTATGGCCTGCATCTGGCGCACCACCCAGGGAACGTCCTCCTCGCTCTGTGTTTGCTGCCCTGGCATCGGCTAGACAGTACCCCCCACGACGCTCCTCGGAGCTCGAACTCCTCTGCAGGCAAGCCTCCCTGCCTGTGAGCCTCCGGGGGACTTGGCCTGACTGACCCCACCTCCGAATCCGGACCCGCCTACCTTGCCTCAACCACAGAGATTCGCCATCTCCTGCAGTCTCTCAACCTGCCTCACACGAGCCAACTTGCCTCTGCCGCAGACCTGCTGCTCCCCACCACATCGCCTCCAAACACCATCTATGACCTCGAGGCCAGACTGCCGGAGAAAGCCGGTGCTACCCTGGTGGAGGAACGCTCCAGCCGCAGCTGCGATCGCCTCCAGAGCATTCTGTCGGATGAGGTTCAAGCAAGCAGGGCGGATGAGCTCCTGGCGGACTTCCGCACGGTAGAATCATCCCCGGAGCTGGGCCACGCCCAGTGACTCGTCAGCCTGAGGGGGAAGGGGGCACGGGAGTGGCTGCAAGCGATCCCCTTCACACCGGACCTCACATTCTCGCCAGGACAGTTTGGGACGGCCCTGGCGTTTCGCCTTGGCCTCCGGATGAATGTACCGACTGTATGCTCCTGTGGAGAACTCGTCCCCGACTGCAGCCTCCCTAACCACCTTCTCCGCTGCAGCGTAGGACCAGACAGGACCCGCACCCACAACCAACTGGCGTTTGCACTCGCCAAGATGGCACGAGAGGCGCAGTTGGTGGTGTATGTAGAAAATGCTATGTACTCACCGCCCGATGACCCCAAGAAGGAGGACGTCATCGTCCGGGATCCGGAATCGGGTGAAACCTGGATCACCGACGTTACCATCACTGACCCCGTGCTTCTGAATAGGGACCCTACAGCCCGAAAACCGCCAGGATGGGCAGCGCGGGAGGCCGCTCGGCGCAAGGACAGCGATCACTACCGCCACACTGAGAACGTGGGCTTTTTCGCCTTGGCAGTGGAGACCTATGGAGCCCAAGCCCCGTCCACTGCGGCCTTCCTTAAGCTGCTCTCAACCGCAGCAGCCCGGAACCGCTTCCGCACCAACCCCCTGGCCAAGACGGCGAAGAAAGTGGCGGCCCACTTCTGGCAGCGCTGGGCAGTCATGCTCCAGCACAGTCAAGCGCACGCCTTGCACGTGAAGGCGCGGGCGGGCATTGAAGCGACACACCCGCAGGCTCCAGCGGACCCCTGGCCCCTGCAGCTAGGGGACCTCCTCCACACCCTGGAGTAAGGGGAGGTGCTAGGGGGCGGGTAGATGTAGAGAGGTGTGTTTGCAAGTTCTATCTTGTGCTCCCTGTTGACCGTCTTGCTTGTACCAATCACCGCATTAATACAAAGGACCGTTCGAGGTATGCAGAGTGGTGGAGGAGAGGGGTAGCAGAGAAAGCTTGGAGTGGTCAACAACAGGTTAAGACTCGGCTGGAGAGCGGCTATGGGAGCGGAACAACAGACGAAGGATCTGTAACAAAGGGTAGATGAGGGTAGGGATGAGCAAAGGGCGAACACGAACATGTTCGTGTTCGCCCCTTCTCGAACACGCCCTTTTGCCGAACCGAACACTGTTCGGTTCGGTGAACAGTTTAGCCAAAAACAGGTGTTCGCTGTTCGCCTGTGGAGGCGTGTTCGGGCGAACCTCGAACACGTTCGTGTTCGACACGGGGCGTTCTGCAGCAGCGCCACGAACATGAACGTGTTCGGGCGAACATCGAACACGTTCGGGCGAACGATTTAAGCTGAAAAACAAAAACTGTTCGGTTCGCCTCGAACACTTTCGAGGCGAACCGAACAGGTGTTCGCCACCTTGCTCAAGCCTAGGTGAGGGGGGAGCGATCACCACAAGAAAGCAACAAGGAACTGCCAGCATCACTCTTCCCATCACTTGCAGTAACACACATGAACGAACGCTCACCTGAATGTAGAGGAACGAGCTGTTGTCCGGCACAAAGTCTGCGGTGTTGGGCGGCACAGAGTCAGCAGTGTTGGGACTGCCTCCCTGCCAGCATCACTCTTCCCAACACAGACAGTAACACACACGAACGAACGCTCACCTGAATGTAGAGAAACGAGGTGTTGTCCGGCACGAAGTCAGCAATGTTGGGAGGGCCCACCACCACGGGCACGGACCCGGCAACAAGGGATTGACCGCCAGAATGACTCTACTGTCAGCCAGCCATCGTCATGTGATGACTCTACTGTCAGCCAGCCATCGTCATGTGATGACTCTACTGTCAGCCAGCCATCGTCATGTGATGACTCTACTGTCAGACAGTCTACACACACAGGAACAAATCGTCACCTGAATGTAGAGGAAGGAGGTGTTGTCCGGCACGAAATCGGCAATGTTGGGCGGACCCACCACCACAGGAAACGGACCCGGCAACAAGGGACTGCCAGAACCGCTCTTCTTGTCACTGACTATCCACACAAACACATCAACAAACCCTCACCTGGATCTACAGGAACGAGCTGTTGTCTGGCACGAAATCAGCAATGTTGGGAGGGCCCACCACCACGGGCACAGACCCGGCCACGAGGGACTGCCAGAACTTCTCAGTGATGTAGTCCGGTTCACAGGAGTTCTCAAAGGCGAGGGAGAACTTGTAACGTTGGATCACTGCCAACTGGTGGTGGGGTGAGGTGGAGGAAGAACGCAGGGGGGAGGGATGGAAGTGCGACGGGAGAGAAAGGGGAAGAACGAAGGGAGGTTCGAAGCGTCTTAGATATTTTAGGGAGGAGGGAGGGGGAGTAGGTCACGCGGCTATGCATGGGCTCCCTTCCCAACAAATGCATAGGGGTTCGAAGAATCGAAGTCCCACGGGTCGTTGTCACTCATGGTGGAAGGGCAACAAATGCATAGGGGTTCGAAGAATCTTAGAGATTATAGGGAGGAGGGAGAGGCAACAAATGCATAGGGAAAGGAGCTTATGCATAGCCACGTGACCTACTCCTCATGATCTATCCTCATCATCCACGTGATCATGCGCACACTTCATAATGCCTCTACCCAAACACTGCAGCCATTCACGCCTTATCGTGCTCAGACCTCATCCCTCTAGATGTAACCACATCTTCAGGCCACTATGCCATACAGCATCATGTGACACCTCATTATGCTCGCACCTTATCATGCTCGCACACATCATCAGACCAGGCCACGATGCTCATACATAAAGCCTTGCGCTCGCACCTTATCATGCTCGAACGGCCGGTTGTTGAGGTAGCAACCATACGAGTGCACAGGAAATATCTTCTGCAACTCCTCCACCGCCTGCTAATCATGTTCACACCCCAACAGACCACGATGCTCATACATACAGACTACAGTATCCCGTGGGCACCTTATCAAGCTCGCACCTTATCATGCTCGAACGGCCGGTTGTTGAGGCAGCGGCCATACGAGTGCACAGGGAAGAACTTCTGCAGCTCCTCCACTGCCTGCGGTTGTGAGGGGGACGGAGTGGTGGAGAGCGGTGCCGTAGCTTACAGGGTACACTTGAAATGAATGGGAAAAACGAGTAGGTTGGGGGGCAACGTGAGGGGGTTGAGGGAGGGGGGCAATACGTGAGGAAAGATAACTGCATCTTCTAACCCATTACCCCTCCCCTCGAAGAGAGAGTGTTTTTGAGACGTCTAGAAAATACTCTCATTTCACGTGTGGGGGTGAGGGAGAGGGGCAATACGTGGGGAAAGATAACTGCATCGTATAACCCATTGCCCCTCCCCTCGTCCTCGCATTCCCCTCCGTTTATCCATTTCTCCTTACCCCTTCCTTTCATCCCTGTCCTCTCACCACCCTCTATGCCCCACCTTGAGTCTGAAGTTAATGGCAGCACGGTTACTGATGAACGCAGCAGCGATGGCGTCTGCTGTCTTGCAAACGGCGGGGCTACATGCCTGCACTCGCACCTCCCTCCAGCCCACCATTCACCTCACCTCCACCCCCTCCATCCCCCTTCTCGCCCCATCTTGAGTCTGACGTTGTTGGCGGCGATGGCGTCTGCTGCCTCTCCCCTCCTCTCTCTCCCCTTGTGCCCTCACCATGTGCACCATGCTCATCCCCCCATCCCCTTTTCCCACCTTGAGTCGGAAGTTGTTGGCAGCACAGTTGCTGATGAACGCAGCAGCAATGGCGTCTGCTGTCTTGGGGACTGGGGGTCGCATGATGTCATACTCCTCCCACGACCCGTACTGCACTGGCACGTCTGAGTCGTAATGCACTGTCATCACCACCTGGTGGTGTTGTAGTGAGATAAAAGAGGGTCAAGGGACAGACCAGGGACGGACAAGGGAGAGACCAGGGATTGACAAGGGAGAGACAAGGAAGAGGAGGAGAGCTGTCTTGGGGACAGGCGGCCGCATGATGTCATACTCCTCCCATGAGCCGTATTGCACTGGCACATCCGAGTCGTAGTGCACTGTCATCACGACCTGATGACAGGATGCAGTGAACAAGAGAGAGATGAGAGGCGAGTAGGGACGGGTCACGGGACTGGAGGCCGCATGATGTCATACTCCTCCCAGGAGCCGTACTGCACTGGCACGTCCGAGTCGTAGTGCACTGTCATGACAACCTGATGTTGTTACAGAGAGATGTGCAGAGAGACAAGGGAGAGGGGGAATGCTGTCTTGGGGACTGGGGGCCGCATGATATCATACTCCTCTCATGACCCGTAATGCACTGTCATCACGACCTGGTGGACGTAGTGTCGTGTACGAGAATGTGCAGAGAGACCAGAGAGACCAGAGAGACCAGAGAGACCAGAGAGACCAGAGAGGCCAGAGAGACCAGAGAGACCAGAGAGACCAGAGAGACAAGAGAGACCAGAGAGACCAGAGAGACAAGAGAGAGACAAGAGAGAGACAAGGGAGAGACAAGAGAGGGACAAGAGAGAGACAAGAGAGAGACAAGAGAGAGACAAGAGAGAGACAAGAGAGAGTCAAAAGAGAGACAAGAGAGAGACAAGGGAGAGACAAGAGAGAGACAAGAGAGAGACAAGAGAGAGACAAGAGAGAGACAAGAGAGAGACAAGAGAGAGACAAGAGAGAGACAAGAGAGGGACAAGAGCTGTCTTGGTCACTGGCGGGCGCATGAAATCATACTCCTCCCATGAGCCGTACTGCACTGGCACATCCGAGTCATAATGCACTGTCATCAGCACCATCAGTCGCTCCCCCGGACACCCATGCCCCCAAAATGCCCCTCCACATGCATGATCTGTCCCACACATCGCCACCTCCCGGCCACTCACGCTATAAGACCCCCTGGACACAGCGGGGTAGTAGGAGCGCGCCTCCATTGACCGCAGTTTTGAGGCGCCTGCCTTTTGAGGCGCCTCTTGAGGAGCCTTTTGAGGCGCCTCAAAGGTAGTAGGAGCACGCCTTCATGGAGCGCAGCACCATCTTCAGTCACACACCCCCTCCACACACCCACATGCCCCATGCACCACACAAATGCCCCTCCCACACATGTATACCACAGGCGTACATGCAGCAACTCAAGTCACTCACACTGTGGGACCCCCGGGAAACAGCAGGGTCGTTGGCAGGGTAGTAAGAGCGCGCCTCCATGGAGCGCAGCACCATCTTGCCTGCCACTGAATACGATAGACTGGCGTCCACGTCGTCTCCCGAACTCACAAACTCACACGCCACGCCACGTCACACTCCCACCGCTTCACCTGCTCTCAGGTGAAGGAATGGGGAGGACGCTGAGAGGGATGATTGGTGTGACGGTTGGGGAATGGGGAGGAAGGGAGAGCGCAGCACTGCGTACGTCATACTCACATCCGCTTCGTCGCCCACAAACTCACAAACTCACAAACTCACAAACTCACACGGCACGTCACACTCCCACCGCTTCACCTGCACACGAGAGGGGAAAGCGATGGCTGGGGGGTGGGACAATAGGGAGAGAGCAGCACTGAGTACGTCAGACTGGCATCCGCGTCGTCTCTCACAAACTCACACGACACGTCACACTCCCACCGCTTCACCTGCTCAAGGGAAAGGGGGGGGGATAGGTGGAAGGATGGGGAGCATGGGGAGAGCGCAGCAGTGCGTACGTCAGACTGGCATCCACGTCGCCTCTCACAAACTCACACGACACGTCACACTCTCACCGCTTCATACACGGCAGTGTGTGAGTATCTAACTTGAGGGAATACCCAGGCACTCACCGCATGCAAAGAACTCACACTCACAAAGCCAATGAGAAAACATCCAACCAAGCACACACACGCACCTCGTTGGAGGCCACTCGCACTGGATGATTCTCAACCTCCCTCCCAACACCCACTTCGTCTTGCTGCTCCAACCACGCCCGCATGACATCCCCTCTGCTGGCCCACTTTCCTTCTGAAGATACTCACACACTCACCGCACATCCAACCAAGCACACACACGCACCTCGTTGGAGGCCACTCGCACTGGATGATTCTCAAACTCCCTCCCAACACCCACTTCGTCTTGCTCCTCCAACCACGCTCGGCATGTCATCCCCTCTGCTGGCCCGCGCAAAGGCTCCCACTCCCCCACTCCCTTTCCCCCTCCCTCTCTATCGCCCTCTCCCTCACTCTCTCCCTCCCCCTCCCCCTCTCCTCCCGCTCCCGCGCCACTCGCGCCCTCCACCCCTCCCCCCTCCCCACCCTCCGCCCCTCTCCCAGAAGCTCCCCCGCGTAGTTGCGCCAATGCGCCATTCACTTGCCCCTGCCCCTCCCCCTGACCCTGTCCCCCGCTGGTAACATCCACTTCCCCGGACCCATCCCGCGCGCCCGTTTCCTCCTCCCCCTGTTCCGCTTCCGCTCCCCTTCGCCCCCCCGCTTCCGCTTCCGCTTCCGCCGCGCGCTCGCTTGCTTCCCGCCGGGACCCTACCTCCTCCTCGTCTTTACTCTCCATCTCACTCTCCTGTCCCAACTCGTCTGGTCCCTGCTCCTCGCTCCCCTCCTTTTCCACTCCCCCCGCTACAACAACTCCCGCATTGTCAACTCGCGGCAACTCCACGGGTTGCTTTCCATCCCCGGTAGAAACGGATTCGGTATCGGTGTATTCGTGAGTCACTGTAATTATTTCGGGTTGGGTGCTTATCGTTGATGTTTGACTTCCCGGACCAGCGAGTTCGGTTGTTATCGGTGTTCCTGAACCTGCATCGCTCCCGGAAATTTTGTCGCTACTTGCAGCTTCATCATTGCGAGAGTTCTTATTCCCGCCATCCCCGTTATTGCCTAGTTCCTCTTCCAGAATAAGCCGTCGCTGCTGCGAGACCTTAAGCTTCACAATGTACAGAGCTTGCGCCAGGATCACGACGATTAAAAACCGGATTAAAAACACTGTCGCGCGGCTAGTTGTCGGCCGTGACTGACGGCCCGGTCCCGCTCCACTGCCGTCTGGCCGTTTCCTCGACGCGCTCGAGCCGCCACCGCCCCAGGCACTCCATCCAGCGTTAAACGCGCTCATGGCTTGAAATCTAGTGCCGAAGTTTTCAGGAGCAATGACGAGGCATAAACGGCGGCTCTGACAAAAAACAGGTGTAAGCGATGCTTTTTAATCCTCAAAATGCTGGCAGCCGTCGCTGCACGAAATGCTGCAGCGCAGATGTGCGAGAGAAAACCCGTCAGCAGGTATGATTGGATCAGGTGACCAAATAGTCTGCAAAGGATTCTACTTGAAGTGGAGGCTAGCATGATCAGGTCATATCAGCAACCATTGGTTCTTGTTTTGAACATGTCTTTGATATTGTCCCTTCGGATCATAGAAATGTTTGATAGGCGGAAGCATAACAAGACGGTACACTTTATAAAGCCTTCTGTATGGTATGAACTTCAACAAAGAAAGGAGATTTCACGTTCATTTGATTCTTATGCTTTATTTCCTCATTACTTTGTACAATTTGGTAAATTTCGAAGTTTTTACCTGCCATTACCCACCTTTATAGCGTAAATAGGCCGCATATACCATAGGAAGTTTTGGGGAGAAAACTCGCATGCTGACTGAAGCAGGATGGAGTATTTATTATGTTCCACATTATTGAGTAATTTTTGTTTGAAGTACACTTGTGCTGGTGAGTCCTTATAACGGTCAGGTTCATTTATGAAACATCAGGGGTCAAACGTTCCGCCGCTGCGAAACGTTTCAGGCTTTAGAGAGCCGGAGATCTCCCGTACTTCGGGAGGCATGACTCGCTTTCCTGCTTGGCTGCCCCTGCATTGCTGGCATTCCGGTGCTGTGTTGTCGATCAACTTCCTCCACGTGTCAGGCCTGCTCAATTCAGCAATGTGATTCGTGGATGATGAGATTTGGTGGGCACACGACAGGACACGAACTTGAGCCCTTTCTTCGCCTGAGGGATACACGGAGAGCTGCTCACCCACCGTACCCAACCCTATCCGTAGCCACTTCACCCTACTGCACTCTACTTGAATGCAGCGGTGCTGTTCAGCTGCTTCCCTCCTCCCCCTTCCATTTTGCCGTTGGGCAGCAACCCCCTCTCCACTGAAGAAGAAAGGAGATGAGAGTGAAGGGGAGAAACTCTCAACAAACCTCCCAGTCCCCCCGTCACTTCGACAAAAGCGATACGCTTCAACCCATCAGGTTTGATACCAACTCGCCAACTGCTGCACTGCTTAGCTTCGATTGTTGCCTACTCTAGTGTAAAAGCTGATTGCGATCGTGTTAGTTTATCAATACCATCAGCCAAATTCTGAGCCACCGCTCAGCTGTACTATCTATAGCCTTTCCTCACAGAACGGGTCTTCAGTCAAAATGGCATCGTCGTTGCACTTGCACACTCGTGTAGCTGTCAGTTCTTGCTTCAGCCAACGGCGTCAAGCTTGTTCTCAGCAGCCGACAAAACCCTCGGCTCTCTTCCACCCCCTCACAAACCGGCGATCGCCCAGCAGCTGTAAACTAACCGTTGAAGCTTCAAAGTCCTCCCGCATTCAATGCAGTCACGTGGTATGTCGACAATTAGGCAGTCCGTCGCTCGTGCAACGCGGCTTTTCACACAAGCCGTTCGTCTCGCTCGTCAATGGAAGGCCTTTGTTTTCGCAACGGGTGCCCACTCCTCGTCGCTTTGCAACTCGTCATTTCTTCAATACATCTAACCTCCATGCGTCTTTCCTCCAATCTTCTTCCCTTCATCTCCAGCGCGACGTGAACACGGAGGAGTTGGATCACCTGGTGACCGGCGAGCGAGAGACGCCTCTCGTTATTGATTTCTGCGCTGACTGGTGCGGGTCGTGCGACATCCTCTCCGAGCAACTTGAAGAGGCAAGTTATAAGGAACAAAAAAAACAAAAACACTTGCCTGGTGGTTGACTTGCCAGATACGCACTGTTTTCGGGTATGATTCGTGTTCGTACAGGATGAGGCTTACGTTCTAAAATTTTTATGCCCAAAGTAGCTGGTTACGGGTTGCTCGCTGACCAGTGTCTCCTTCACCATTTCATACTTTTTGGGACGTGGGTGCGACGGATGTGCAGTTAGCGGAGGAGTACGACGGGCGCGTGCGGTTCGTGCAGGTGAACACCGATCAGGAATACGACCTTGCAGATCAGCTGGAGGTACGGCGTCAAAACCGCGAACAACAGCTGCTTTCAACGCCATTCTTCTCTCCTCATTCGTCATCATCATCTCCCGTTGGTTGTTGTCAAAGCCTGCTTGCCATCTAGTTCCTATTTAATTGGTTCTCTGTTTGTTGCAGATCCGCGGGCTTCCAACCATGGTGTTCATGGGTAAGGACAAGGCCAAACGAGCCACCCGCATTGAGGGCATGCTTTCAGTGGACACCATCAGGCAACTCATTGATGACGTTGCTGATCTCCATACCTAAGAGAAAGTGACAAGTTTTTCCAGGAGAATAAATTGGCTGAAGTGCTTGTCTGAAGTGTGTATAAATGGCTGGCAGGAGTCCTTGCCAGGATGGAGATAGAGAGCTCGAAAAAAATCTATAGGTGCAGCCATACATGGTTGTGTGTGGGTTTATGGCCATGCGCGGTAGAACATTCCTGCATTGGCGCGTTTTTTCTGCTTCGTTGTTTTTTCATGTGAATATGTCCACTATACACCAGTGATACAAGTGTATATAAACATACCGTAAGTCAGTCATAACGGCCTCAGGGTCAGCTTCTAAGGTGGGTGTAAAGCCCCCCTCGCAAGATTCCACAGCGCGCCGAAGTTACGAGTCCACTTCCAACCTTTCACCGCCGAGCACCGAATACGGCCAAGAATGACATCCTCCTGCCCTGCCAGCGCATAAGCCTTCCTTTGCCGCTTCGAACCGCCGCCTTTGTCCAGCTTCTTCCCCATTGTCCGAGTATATACCTTCACATGCAGCCAGAAAGCTGCCTCAATGCGCCTGAGGACGCGCCCAGCCCTGAACCTCCTTCCCCGAAACACGCATTCGCATCTCTCCGCCCATATCTGATGCACCGCAATGGCAGAAAGAGATGCCTCCGGAAAAGCTGAGGTGGACGCCGCCTTCCCGAACAGCAGGTCCCCCAAATCAGCCACTTGCCTCGCTGGGTTCAACATGCGCATGGCACGCCTGACTGCCACCACCACCAGTTGAATGCGCGGGCAGGTTAAAAGACAGTGTTCCAGAGTTTCGAGCTCCCCGCAGTGTGGACAGACCGGTTTGCCACTTAAAAATGAGAGTCTTTCCCCTACCTGCAGGTTAAGACCGTGGATTTGCAACAGCACGTCCCGCGGCCTGTTTGGTGTCACGAGCAGGGCTCTCGTTATCATGGTAAAATACCCTTTTTGCACTGACTGGCGGCCGCTTTTTTGCAGTTACCCTTTCCCAGGCAGGATAGTGGGATTTTTACCCTAGGCCATTAAGTGTAATTTTTTTTTTACCCTTTGAAATACAGCGTGCCTCAAAATTTTCCCTGACTGTACAGGGTACTTTTCCAGTTACACTGATACGGATTTCTTGCAAGCGAGGATTTCAAACCTTAACAGAATGCGAAACGGACAACAAGATCAACACTCACAAAAAACAATATCACCCTCACGTGGAGTCACGCGAATTTCCACGCGTCCTGCCGCGAAAGTACCACATTGGTGGAACTGGCAGCCACCGTGCCAGCGCAACACGGAATCAAGGCCAGAGCAGCATTTGACAACTGCCAGACTTGTCTAGTAGCGCGCCGACAGGACAGCGGGGCTGCCATCCTCCTTTCGTGCTGAACAGGGCACCTCCTGGCAGCCACAAGTGACCACCGTGAGCCATGCAATTACGCGCTCCGGGGTCATCACGGGTGTTGGAGGAGGGGGTCGTTATCCCAAGAACACCCCATCTTTCTCATCCTTCTCATACCCTCGGTGTGAGAACCACCTACTGGGAGGTCTCTCACATGTGGTAGTCATGCCTGCCGAGCAAACTCCTCAATCTCCCACGGTAGTGTGTAATGGCCTTTCTGTGCTGGGAGTTATTCCTCCCCCTGCTGAGACCTACAGCGTGCCCATCTCGCCGTTGCCACCACCCGCTTCTCCCGTGCATAGTGTGGGTATTGTATACCCGTTCGAGCCGCCGTCGACTCCTGCTGACTGGGAGCCGCACCCGTCAATTGTTCTCGTGCCAGGCGGTGGTGAAGGGTCGTCTAGACCCTCCGCGGGTTCACCGTCCACTGTGAACAGCACCCCGGGGAAACGCCCGCGTGTGGGAGCGAAGTACACGCAGCAGCGGCTATGGGGAGCCCCGCCACCCCGAAAAGAAGCTTCACCGCAACGTCCAGTAGCGACCCAAGACGAGGCGCCCGCTAAAACTACCGGTGGCGTTCTCTACGAGACCATTAAGCATTGCTTTGAGACGGAGTGGAAAGGTAAATTCAAGTGGTTGCGTCTTATTCGGATGCCTAACGGAGAAGCAAAACTCGAGCGTGACATCTGTGTGCAGCATGGCGACCCCGCAGCTCACACTAGCTACGGTGTGAGAGGTGAAGGTGGCCGCGACCTGCAGATAGGAAGCGTCCGGGCCCATTCCTCGACACGAGCCCACAAGAGCGCAGTCAAGAACCAAGAAGAAGCTGCAGCTGAGAAGGAGAAACAGGCGAAACTAAATCGGTGGCAGACAACTGACGCGTCTACGCGTCACATCATTCGCGTGCTTCATATTGCGCTTTTTATCTGCAGGGCGGATGCACCGATCTCGATGTTCATCCCGATCTGCTGGTTCTTGGCAAAGGAAGGCCTTCCAGACCTTCCGAACGGTGGCGGATATGGCGCCTACTACACCGAGTAAGCGCATGTTTTTTTAACGGTAGCCACGGGTGATATTCACATATACTGATGTTGTTATCTGTTGTTATGTGCAGATATGGCTTCAGAGAGAATCTCCGGGCCATCTCAACGTACCTACAAGAACTGCAACGATCGCACTTGCTGGAGTCGCCTTGGATTGGCTTGTCCCTGGACGAGAGCACAGACCGAATCCACGGCAAACATCTAATCGTTTACGCTACTTTTTTCCGTGGCACGGGTGTGGTCAACGAGTTCATAACGCTCATCACTGTTGACCGTGCTGATGCAGCCTCTCTGACCTCTGCTGTGGTGCAGTACCTGACAGGGATTGGCTTGGATCTCCAGAAGATCTCTGCCATTTCAACGGACGGCGCTAGTGTCATGACAGGCAAGAACAACGGGGTTGTCGCCCGTCTGCGCATGAGAATCCCGCACCTCGCCTCCACGCACTGTGTCGCTCATCGGTGAGTGTCTCCCCGTGCACTCGGTGGGAAAGCGATGCACCGTTTTTAACTTCATTACCATAACTCGTACTTTGTTTACTTGGCAGGGAGGCTCTAGCCGCCAGCGATGCCGCGGATGCTGTGCCAGAACTTTACATGGTTGACGACGTCATCCGTGGCTTTGCAGATCTCATCTCGCGATCCAACGTCAAGTACGAGAAGTTTCATAACATTCAGCATGTTTTCTGCAAGACGAACCTGGAGGCACAAGGGATACACACCGTTCGCTGGCTGTCACGTGGTGAGGCCGTCCGACGCTTCCTCGAGATCCTGCCTGCAGCCATCGTGGTGCTCAAAGAGTACAATGACCTGTACGAGATTGCCACGTCGTTCAAGTTTCAGTGGTTGCTCCGGCTGCTTGCTGACGTGTTGTGGGAGCTGAACCATCTGAACCAACGGTTCCAGCAACGGCAGGTAAACGAATCTGAATTTCATAGACTACTTACGCCCAGAAAGGAGTGTCGCTAACCATGTCTTCTGTGCTGTCTGAACAGATCGACGTCACGCTCGTGTCTCATCTCGTGGACCAGACACGAATGCGCATGAAGAACCGGTACTTAAACTTTTCGCCGGATCATCACTTCGGGAGTGGAGAGAAGATGACACTGAACGACTTCATTCAGCGCCATCAGAAGATGGACAAGCGGGAGGTGAAGGCAGAGGGCGTGGACAGTGACAGCAACCCCGTGAGATTCAGCTACACGCTGCACGAGAATCCCATCGAAGGGCAGGAGCCGGACGGAGATGTAACGGCTTGTTTCGAGCTGTCGCTGAAGTTTGTGCGTGCTGTCGACAAGGAGCTGGAGTGGCGGATGAAGGACCTGGAGGAGTTGGAGGGGTGTAAGCTATTTCGGTCAGCCTCATACGTACCTGACGACGCCAAGCGTGTGGAAAACTTCAAAAAAATGGCTGGCTAAACTGCACAGGCTCTACAGGAAGAAGCTTCCAGGTATGCTCGTAGACCTCATGGTGTGTACCTGACTGTTGTTTTCCCGTTCCCTTCAGCGTTGTTTTCCCATCTGCTTCTGCTTTATTCTGTCGTAACGATCGGCGCACTCTCATATCTTCTCGTCTGGTCGCTTGTGTATCTCCTGGATTGTTTTGTTTAATCCTCCCCCTTCCACCCGATTGCTGCGAGTATAGCCCCGTTTAAACCCATACCCGTACAACAGGATTCGACTACACCAGATCACAGAGCGAGCTCTGGATGTTCACCTCAACAATGTACTCTCAACACAACAAGGACTTTCACCAGGCACTCGGGAACATGCTTCGTGACAACGACTGGCAGCACTCGTTCCCGAACTTGATGAAGATGTGGCAGGCAGTAGCCGTCCTACCGCTGAGCACGGTCGAGTGCGAGAGGGGGTTCAGCAAGCAGAATTTGATCAAGACGTGGGACCGTGGCAGCATCTTGGACATCACCCTGGAGCATTTGATGCGCTGTTCCCTGCTCCAGTATGACGTGGACTGGTACGAGGTGGTGTCCATCTTCAGGGGAGAGAGGCTGCAAAGATCGACTAAGGACTTAAGTGGCACAAACCCGGGCGAGGCTATTTTCGCTGAAGCCGTTGTAGAGTCCTCTGACCCTGTTGGCGAATGAGTAGTAGCTGCAGGTGCTGGAATGTGTGCAAGGGCTTATGTAGCTGGTGCATTGCACATTGTGATTATGTAGTTAATGTAGTGTGAACTCATGGGGTGAAAATAGACTTGCCGGTTAAATCAGTGTAAGGCCAGAATTAGTCTGACGGTTTCAGCGTAACAAAGATTTTACCCTGCCTTCGTCAGGGCAAAAAATTTTTACCCTAGAGGTCATACTGGTCTACACCTACAACCCTGATTACAAAGTATGCCCCAAAACGAATCTGAAGCTCTGGTCACGAGGGAGTCCCGGATTTTAATCACCCTCTTCCAGTCGATTTCCCCTGCCCATCTGCCTACCCAGAGTTCCCTCTTGGCTGATTGATGCTTCTTCCGATCCCAGCTCCCCTTCAGCTCTCTTAGCGACGCCAACTGCCCGTTACTGAACAGCGGGGTTCTCTGGAGAGGGGTGCGAAGTGGAGGCCGAGGCAACTGCAGGAGCTCG